TAGTGGTGCTAGTAGAAGAAGAGTGTTCATTTGATTCATGTGAGTGGTTGTCGTAGAACCCCAGCACAATGGTTTCCCCAGGGTTCATAAAGCTGTGGTAAGCATATACACAAGTTTTTTTTTTAAGTAAAAGATTCTTTTCCACGCCTTCGGGCCTATTGGGCATATAGGGTTAGACCTATATTTTACAGACCATTTGGCACTTGGTGGGTGATGGAATCATCATCACGCCGGCAGTCTTTACTTCCCTCGGTTCTTAATTTATAACGTACCCAAAACACGAAATCCCCGTGGGAAATCCACAGCAGACCTTACAGTCCATTATTTCAAGGGGTGGAAGTGTGCTGTTGTGTGGTGCTTTTTTTTTTTTTGAGTGTTCATCTAGTGTCTTCTAATGCTAACCCTAACCCTAACCCTAACCATAACCCTAAACTTGGCTGTAGATAAATCACGAGAAACTACAACCTGAACACCCTAGAATTTATTGGGAATGTCTCCCGTGACGTTGTCGTGACGTCAGGGGTAAGTTATAAATTAAGTACCATTCCCACGGCTTGTACCTGGTACCCACTCTAGGCTGGTTTGACCTGGTACCCACTCTAGGCTGGTTTGACCTGGGAGCCACTCTATGCTGGTTTGACCTAGTACCCACTCTAGGCTGGTTTGACCTGGTGCCCACTCTAGGCTGGTTTGACCTGGCAGCCACTCTAGGCTGGTTTGACCTGGTGCCCACTCTAGGCTGATTTGACCTGGCAGCCACTCTAGGCTGGTTTGACCTGGTACCCACTCTAGGCTGGTTTGACTTGGTAGCCACTCTAGGCTGGTTTGACCTGGTACCCACTCTAGGCTGGTTTGACCTGGCAGCCACTCTAGGCTGGTTTGACCTGGTACCCACTCTAGGCTGGTTTGACCTAGTACCCACTCTAGGCTGGTTTGACCTGGTACCCACTCTAGTCTGGTTTGACCTAGTAGCCACTCTAGGCTGGTTTGACCTGGTACCCACTCTAGGCTGGTTTGACCTGGTACCCACTCTAGGCTGGTTTGACCTGGCAGCCACTCTAGGCTGGTTTGACCTGGTACCCACTCTAGGCTGGTTTGACCTGGCAGCCACTCTAGGCTGGTTTGACCTGGTACCCACTCTAGGCTGGTTTGACCTAGTACCCACTCTAGGCTGGTTTGACCTGGTACCCACTCTAGTCTGGTTTGACCTAGTAGCCACTCTAGGCTGGTTTGACCTGGTACTCACTCTAGGCTGGTTTGACCTGGTACCCACTCTAGGCTGGGTCGACCCAGGAGCCAAGGATATTTTTGAACAAAAGTCGGGCTCTGTAAGGACCCGAATCCACGATCTTCCGATCGGCAGGCGAGCGTCTAGCCGCGACACCACGGCGACTCCCTGTGGTATGCATACGATTGTTGAAAACTGTGAGCAAATTTCAGTTGCTTCTCTATACCATGATGCCAAACTGACGAACATCTTCTCTCTAAATTTCCCTCTGTCTCTTTCCCCCTCCACTTTCTCACCGTCACGTTTATACTCCAGTTTCCTCCTGCTGGAATGGTCTAGCACCTTATACCAAGCTTAGACCAACCTTATACCAAGCTTAGACCAACCTTATACCAAGCGTAAACCAACCTTATACCAAGCTTAGACCAACCTTACACCTTGCTTAGACCAACCTTATACCAAGCTTAGACCAACCTTATACCAAGCTTAGACCAACCTTACACCTTGCTTAGACCAACCTTATACCAAGCTTAGACCAACCTTATACCAAGCTTAGACCAACCTTACACCTTGCTTAGACGAACCTTATACCAAGCTTAGACCAACCTTATACCAAGCGTAAACCAACCTTATACCAAGCTTAGACCAACCTTATACCAAGCTTAGACCAACCTTATACCAAGCGTAAACCAACCTTATACCAAGCTTAGACCAACCTTACACCTTGCTTAGACCAACCTTATACCAAGCTTAGACCAACCTTATACCAAGCTTAGACCAACCTTATACCAAGCTTAGACCAACCTTATACCAAGCTTAGACCAACCTTATACCAAGCTTAGACCAACCTTATACCAAGCGTACACCAACCTTATATCAAGCGTACACCAACGTTATACCAAGCTTAGACCAACCTTATACCAAGCGTACACCAACCTTATACCAAGCGTACACCAACCTTATACCAAGCGTACACCAACCTTATACCAAGCGTACACCAACGTTATACCAAGCTTAGACCAACCTTATACCAAGCGTACACCAACGTTATACCAAGCTTAGACCAACCTTATACCAAGCGTACACCAACGTTATACCAAGCTTAGACCAACCTTATACCAAGCGTACACCAACCTTATACCAAGCGTACACCAACCTTATACCAAGCGTACACCAACCTTATACCAAGCGTACACCAACCTTATACCAAGCGTACACCAACCTTATACCAAGCGTACACCAACCTTATACCAAGCTTAGACCAACCTTATACCAAGCGTACACCAACCTTATACCAAGCGTACACCAACCTTATACCAAGCTTAGACCAACCTTATACCAAGCGTACACCAACCTTATACCAAGCGTACACCAACCTTATACCAAGCATACACCAACCTTATACCAAGCGTACACCAACCTTATACCAAGCGTACACCAACCTTATACCAAGCATACACCAACCTTATACCAAGCGTACACCAACCTTATACCAAGCTTAGACCAACCTTATACCAAGCGTACACCAACCTTATACCAAGCGTACACCAACCTTATACCAAGCTTAGACCAACCTTATACCAAGCGTACACCAACCTTATACCAAGCGTACACCAACCTTATACCAAGCGTACACCAACCTTATACCAAGCGTACACCAACCTTATACCAAGCGTACACCAACCTTATACCAAGCGTACACCAACCTTATACCAAGCGTACACCAACCTTATACCAAGCTTAGACCAACCTTATACCAAGCTTAGACCAACCTTATACCAAGCTTAGACCAACCTTATACCAAGCTTAGACCAACCTTATACCAAGCGTACACCAACCTTATACCAAGCTTAGACCAACCTTATACCAAGCGTACACCAACCTTATACCAAGCGTACACCAACCTTATACCAAGCTTAGACCAACCTTATACCAAGCTTAGACCAACCTTATACCAAGCTTAGACCAACCTTATACCAAGCTTAGACCAACCTTATACCAAGCTTAGACCAACCTTATACCAAGCTTAGACCAACCTTATACCAAGCGTACACCAACCTTATACCAAGCTTAGACCAACCTTATACCAAGCGTACACCAACCTTATACCAAGCGTACACCAACCTTATACCAAGCTTAGACCAACCTTATACCAAGCTTAGACCAACCTTATACCAAGCTTAGACCAACCTTATACCAAGCTTAGACCAACCTTATACCAAGCTTAGACCAACCTTATACCAAGCGTACACCAACCTTATACCAAGCGTACACCAACCTTATACCAAGCTTAGACCAACCTTATACCAAGCTTAGACCAACCTTATACCAAAGCTTAGACCAACCTTATACCAAGCGTACACCAACCCTTATACCAAGCTTAGACCAACCTTATACCAAGCTTAGACCAACCTTATACCAAGCGTACACCAACCTTATACCAAGCGTACACCAACCTTATACCAAGCTTAGACCAACCTTATACCAAGCTTAGACCAACCTTATACCAAGCTTAGACCAACCTTATACCAAGCGTACACCAACCTTATACCAAGCTTAGACCAACCTTACACCAAGCTTAGACCAACCTTATACCAAGCGTACACCAACCTTATACCAAGCTTAGACCAACCTTATACCAAGCGTACACCAACCTTATACCAAGCTTAGACCAACCTTATACCAAGCGTACACCAACCTTATACCAAGCTTAGACCAACCTTATACCAAGCGTACACCAACCTTATACCAAGCTTAGACCAACCTTATACCAAGCTTAGACCAACCTTATACCAAGCGTACACCAACCTTATACCAAGCTTAGACCAACCTTATACCAAGCGTACACCAACCTTATACCAAGCTTAGACCAACCTTATACCAAGCGTACACCAACCTTATACCAAGCGTACACCAACCTTATACCAAGCTTAGACCAACCTTATACCAAGCGTACACCAACCTTATACCTAGCTTAGACCAACCTTATACCAAGCGTACACCAACCTTATACCAAGCTTAGACCAACCTTATACCAAGCGTACACCAACCTTATACCAAGCGTACACCAACCTTATACCAAGCGTACACCAACCTTATACCAAGCGTACACCAACCTTATACCAAGCTTAGACCAACCTTATACCAAGCGTACACCAACCTTATACCAAGCTTAGACCAACCTTATACCAAGCTTAGACCAACCTTATACCAAGCGTACACCAACCTTATACCAAGCGTACACCAACCTTATACCAAGCTTAGACCAACCTTATACCAAGCGTACACCAACCTTATACCAAGCTTAGACCAACCTTATACCAAGCGTACACCAACCTTATACCAAGCTTAGACCAACCTTATACCAAGCGTACACCAACCTTATACCAAGCTTAGACCAACCTTATACCAAGCTTAGACCAACCTTATACCAAGCGTACACCAACCTTATACCAAGCGTACACCAACCTTATACCAAGCTTACACCAACGTTATACCAAGCTTAGACCAACCTTATACCAAGCGTACACCAACCTTATACCAAGCGTACACCAACCTTATACCAAGCTTAGACCAACCTTATACCAAGCGTACACCAACCTTATACCAAGCGTACACCAACCTTATACCAAGCTTAGACCAACCTTATACCAAGCGTACACCAACCTTATACCAAGCGTACACCAACCTTATACCAAGCTTATTTCACTGCCGTATATTTGCACCTAATTCTCATTTATTTACTGATCACCATGTTTTCGGGTTTTCCCAGGACCCAGCGACTGGATGTTTTGGGACGACAAGGTGATAACAAAGTTGAAAGAGCTTCACAACGATGGATACAGAGTGGTGTTCTTCACAAACCAAGGCGGTATCGAAAAGAACAAAGTGACTGTCAGTGGTTTCCAGTCCAAAGCTGAAGCCATCATCAGGGACCTGGACATTCCTGTCATGGTAATGTAGAAATAAATGCAAAACATTAATTTCTTTGCTTTAAGGCATATGTATTGTGATCGCCTCGGGCCCGAAGGTCGTGCGTTCAAATCCGCATCGAGCCTGGAGTTTAAGAAAAATGACATAGGCTGCCAAGTTGACAAAGCCCTAATAGGTACCAGGTAGAGTCATGGGAAGTAAAAGCGGCCGCATGATATTGACTGCATCACCAACGAGGGCCGATTGGCCTGTACACTATTAGTCTAGCTTTTTATATCTCATACGTATATTCTGGCGTAAAAGGATCCTTAACATTTCAGAAAACGCTGACACACCAGAATATGCTGGGGTGAAAAGAAATAAAAGAGTAGACAGACTGGCGGTGACTGCAGTAGTTAGTAGAGGAAGAAGTATGGACATGGCAGACTTACTGATTGTGTTCCAGAGACGTTGAGACAAAGAAGTCATAGAGTCGATGAACCGACTGTTGGAAATAGGTAGTTAAACGAGGTCAAAAATGCAGAAACTGGCTGTGAGACAAAGAGAAGATATGTCATACAGCTTGACCTGAGCTGCTTGAGGTCTGCCCCAGTCGTGAATAATCGACCGATGAATCATGATCACAGATGACCTCTAAATCAGGCACTAGAATAAGATGACTGTCTTATGCACTTACTGCGTGTGCATGCTATGATTCACTTTGCTGAGATGGCAGTATTAATTTGCTCACAAGAGACGGCAATGGGCCTTCTGTATTGTTTCACTGACAAGGGAATGGAGCAATTGTAGGGTGACCCGTTTGCCGTGAAGTTAGAACTGTTGTTGTCATTTGTCGTGAAGTTGGGACTGTTGTTGTCGTTTGTCGTGAAGTTAGGACTATTGTCATTTGTCGTGAAGTTGGGACTGTTGTTGTCGTTTGTTGTGAAGTTGGGACTGTTGGTGTCGTTTGTCTTGAAGTTAGGGCTGTTGTTGTTATTTGTCGTGAAGCTGGGACTGTTGTTGTCGGTTGTTGTGAAGTTAGGACTATTGTCGTTTGTCGTGAAGTTGGAACTGTTGTTGTCGTTTGTCGTAAAGTTGGGACTGTTATTGTCGTTAGCTATAAATTTGGAACTGTCGTCGTCGTTTGTCGTGAAGTTAAAACTGTTGTTGTTTGCAGTAAGTTGAAACTGTTAGTAACTAATTAACTATATTAAGAGGAAAGTGGGGAGGATTAAGAGGAAAGTGGGGAGGATTAAGAGGAAAGTGGGGAGGATTAAGAGGAAAGTGGGGAGGAGGAAGAGGCTGGTGGAAGAAAAGAACAACTTGATACCTGACGATGATTACTATGCTACTTGTCTGCTGAAATGCAGACAATTGTTTGAAAGACAATGGTCCCGTTTTGAAGATTTAGACTTCTAGGAATTAGCTCGAGGATAAAATCTCTACACTTATAGTTATCTCTGTAATGTAGACCTTTGTGGATGTAATAGTTTTAGATACTACAAATTATTGTCTGAAATGTATTCAAGAGAGCTGTAACTGTTGCATGTTTTTATAGTGCATTTAAAAGAAGTGATAGTATCGGGTTTCGGTACCTCGGTTGAGGAAGTAAAAACACACTTTCACATTGGTGACCTAGAAAACAGAAAGGGAGGTGGGGGGAGGGGAAGGGTTTAACTTTCTTGGGATGTCCCGTTTTCAGCTCAAAATGTTAGTAGGATGTCCCGTTTTCAGCTTAAAATGTTAGTAGGATGTCCCGTTTTCAGCTCAATATATTATGGTCATACTAGTCATAAAAGGCTTCTAATGTAGGGTTTACTGAAATCAGATGCATTGGACCAAAAAAAGCCACAACAAAATGAGCGAATTGTCACTTTTCAGGACAATCAAAGGAAGTTTGTAATTTTAACGTTAGTCCTTTATTCATATTTGTCTTCAGGTGTTTGCCAGCACAGGAACCAACATGTACCGGAAGCCTTATACTGGGATGTGGGACTACTTCACAGAAAACTGTAACCAAGGTGTCAAGGTAATATTCCCTGTTCAACTCTTGTACAACTTGACTACACCGGTAACTTCTACTGAGTTTCCCCCATATGGGTCAGCCCCACCTATTTACGCACTAGGTCACAATTTCATTCATACTTTGTTAGGCTCATAAACTTTTCTGAAGGTTATTGGGGTGTCCCCTGTGTACTGTTTGCTCAAAAAGCTTTCTGCGTTCTCTACATCGGCCGTTGATATCTGATGTAAGCGCTTTTAAAGGTCCAAAAACATGCAGAACTGGCTCTAACACAAACTCCCCTACAAGAATGCTGCAACCTATGTCACGTGCATTCTCTTTCTGGGAATGAAAACGTAAATGGAAGACACCACAGAAAGTTTTTTGAGCAAACAGTACACCGAGATATCCCCGTAACCTTCAGTAAAGTTGACAAGCCTGAGCAAGCACTAATCAAAAGTGACCTAGTGTGTAAGTGGGCGGAGCAGACCCAGATGGAGAGAACTTCATAACATTTACCACTAAACACCATAACCTCAGACGTGACAGCGTGATAAAGAACAGAATCAGCTTCCCAGTGACCAGATAAAAAATCATATTATTGGCTATTCACAATGCGTTTTACCAATAAAGACAGTTTTTAGAAAGCAGCCCCTATGCATATGATTTGAGAAGCACTGTCCTGTCACTGTAACAATATTATTTACGGGACTTATAAAAGAAAGGCAGAAGCAGACCTCCATGAACATGGATAGAAGACATTAAAGATACACTGGCTATGAAAGCACGGAGGTCCCAGTGTGGGTTCCAGGGCTCTGTTATGGGGAAAACAAGAATAGACCCACCGCCTACCCAAACACATGTTGTAAGAGTCTACTACTTGGGAGCTTCCTTCAAAGTCAGAGTACATCTGCATGAGAGGCAAGGAGTAATCTGCAAATGAGTCAGCTCTGTAAAACGGATGTGCAAACATTCAGGTTCTGAAACAGGACTACATCCAGAATTGGACGAACAACCAGAACTTTCTGCAGGAGTTTATTGCCTGCGAACGCTAAGAAGAAGAAGAAAGCATGGCGGGCTGGAGAATTATGGCTAAAGAAAAAGTGACTTTCAGGCGTGCAGTGACAACAGCAGCGTTATGTACAGGGCCTGTGGACTGGTGAAGATAGAAGAAAGAAAATAAGAGTTGATGTCCGCTGTTGAAGCCATTATTGTTCTGTGTTACAGGTGGACAAATCCCAGTCCTTGTACGTCGGTGATGCTGCCGGAAGAGCCAAGAACTGGGCCAAAGATAAACCAAAAGATTTTTCTTGTAGTGACCGAATGTTCGCAGCCAATGTTGGAGTCAGTGAGTGTGTTTTCATTGTGAGATCAGTACTATTCTTTCCCGTGTGAGTTCCGGGGCACTTTTATAGGAAAAACAAGAATAGACCCACTGCCTAGCCAAAAGCATGTCATAAGAGTCGACTAATTGGGAAGTCGGAGTGCATCTGACTAAAAGGCAAGGAACCAACAGTCTGCATGTAAATGAGTCAGATCTGTCAAAGGGATTCACACGCAACACTCAGGTTCTGAAATAGGACAACCAGAACTTTCCTCCAGAGTTTATAGCCGATGAATGCGAAGAAGAAGAAGAAGCAGAAGAAGAAAAAGACGACGAACTCTTCTTCTTCTTTTTTTACTACTTTCACTGTGAAATCAGTACTATTCTTCTTCTTTTTTACTACGTTCATTAACCAATGAAGCACAGGTCTTCTACCAAGGCATACTATTCCCTTGTTTATGGCGACTGACTGGCTCATTTTTTTTTAAAGGATAAGCAGCCTTAACTGCATCTTATGACACACATGGCAAGTTCCAGCGCTACTATTCTTTGCTTCCTGTATGTCTACATTTATGACAGTATTTGTCATAGCGTTACTGTTTCCAGGATGGATTAACCATCGAGCACACTAAGCACATGCTTAGGGCATCATAAAGGGAGAGGGCACCACATAAATTGTCAATAGCTTTGAAGCTGAGTGAACAACAATGTAACAAGGCAGGCTGGATGTGCTATCTCTATCAAGTATAGAAGCCGATGTGTTACACAAGATTAGTTTTAAGGATCTGATCAAAAGCTTTGCAATTTACAAAACTAGGAAGGCACTTTTTAAATATAATTGAAGTGGAAGTATGTATAATAAACCTATTTTCCATCTTACTGTAACTTTTGTTTTACTTCTGATACTAACATTTTATGTTATATTTTATTATTGTTTATACTTAATTACCTATCTTGTGGAGCACCAGTGCCATCTTAACATATGGACCCGCTGGGCACTTGTCCAGGGGCCACACCAGCATTTCGGCCCCATGCTAATCTGTGTATGTCAAGTGACCCTTTACAGGTCATTCCTCTGAGTGGTTGTTGCGGGGGCCCCAGCACACTGGTTGGTCCAATGGTCTCATATACCAATGCTGTTAAGACGGCTCAGGGAGGTGGGAGGTGGGAGCACCAACATCTTTTAAGTGCTTAGGGCATTAAGTGGTCTTAATCTGGTCCTGACTGTGACAGTAAAAAAAAAATCCACTCAAATGTTACTAAGGAAAGGGAGAAGGGGGAAACAACCCATCCCCCCCCCTTCTTTTTAATTAAGCTTATGAGTCATAGTTCAGTGGACTCATGTCTTGCTTTTAGCTTGGCTGCAGTCACCCCTGTTTTCACTACTTTTTATTAAATTAAAACTCAGTTAATCTGAACTGACTCAACTCTTTGAGACCCAGGAGGTTTAGCGTCAGAGGCCCAAGGGGTAGTCAAGAAAGATGTAAAATCAGCACATCTTGCGTTCACTGGACTTCTAGGTAGGAATCTATGAACGTATGACGCGTTCCTTGGGACTCAAAGAGTTAAAAAGAACATCAAGTTAATATGAACACAATTCTGCTCACAGCAGGCAGGTATTATTATTAGTTCCCAGCATGCACAAAACAGTAATTCAATTTTCAGTCATTAGAAATGCGATTTGACATGGTATTACTGTACATTCTAAAAAGACAGTATTTAGAATGGCATTATAACAATCATTACATAAGACAGCTTTTGTTGTCACATTACTTTAAACCCTCAGTATCTGTCATATCATTAGCATTAGTTTTTTATGCCAACATCTGCCACATCATGCACTTTATCAGTTCATACAGAAAAATAAAAAAAAAATAAAAAAACAACATGGCACAGTTGTACTCCACAATATAATTTAATGTTTCTTTTCCCCTTCAGAATTCTACACGCCAGAAGAGTTTTTCTTTGACCAGCCTCCGGCTCCATTTCAGTGGCGATCATTTGACACAAAAGAGTTTTTGAAAAAAAATCCTCCCATTTCCAAACAGGCAGACAAATCAGACTATACTAGCAAGGTAAGGCACAACTTGTGGACTGGTGCTATCAGTTAGTCAATCGACCAGTGAAGACTGCCAGTCAGATAATCAGGGCTGGATTAAAACTCCTTTGATGCCCTAAGCACTTAAGAGATTTTGGTGCTCTCCCTTCCCCCCAGCTCTTAAAAGGTCTTCACAGCATTACAAGCCCCTGGGCCAACCAGTGTGCTGGGGCCCCTATGACAACCACTTACAGCAATGAAATGAAAATGGTCATTTGGCAAATACAGATCAGCATGAGGCCCCTATGCTCGTGTGGCCCCCGGGCAAGTGCCTAGTGGGCCCATGTGTTGAAACAATGCCAGTGCCTCCCATATATGTCTAGTTCACCATATAATAATATTAAACCATACAATTGTATTTATCAAAATTAAACAAAACTTACACTAAGACGGGAAAACAAAAACCCACGTCTGTTTGTGCATACTTCCACTTTATCAATCAATCAATGGGTTTGTGTCTACGTTTAATGGTTTCTATTTTCTCTGGCAGACGCAGGAAGTTATTGTCATGGTGGGTCCCCCGGCTACAGGAAAGAGTACATTCCGCAAGCGCTACCTAGAGCCCCATGGCTACGTGACCATAAACAGAGACACGCTGGGTACCATGGCCAAATGTTTAAAGGTAATCTTCCTCTGAGGTTGAACATGTTATCATTAAAGATTCTGTAAGATAAAGTTAGTTGTTGAGGGCAAAAATAAAATTCTAACCCGCACAGTTTGTGGCGACAGCCCTAGTCATGTGGCCCTAAATCTGCAGGCTGAAAAGCACCCCTCCCCCATCCCCCCACAAAAAGTAGTACATCCAGACAGTAACCAGCAGTTTTGAGGATATAAAGTTGTTTGCATATCCTTTGTGATGAGAAGACTGACTAGGAGAACATTATGATGACTGGAAAGGTCAACGATAGCAGAGGCAGACCAAGGGAGACGATGCTTGATGCCCTGAAGTGACGGCATGGTGGAATAACTTCACTGTAATTAATTCTAAATATTAGTAGCCGAAATCTGTGGAGAGACACGAGCACATAAGCTGCTGGACAGGGCACTTGATGATGATGATATCCTTCTAAGGAGGTTATAACCCAAACCCAGCCATTTGTGCAATTTTTACATTGGTTAGTTTACTATTACCACTAAATGGTCAGCTCTCGACACCATTGTTGATATCAATGAAAAGTGCTCTGCTGCCAACAGCTGGAATCAAATTGGGTATCAAGGAATTACAAGCCTTGTTCACAACATCTAAGCAACAGCCGCCATCTAATTGTAATAGAACTGTCTATTGGTAAGGTTTTGTTAACGTTTTCCTCCATCTACTTCTGCCAGTAGACAGGTTTCAAACTTAGAGCAACAAACACCATGTATCCAGTAAACTCATGGTCGGGAAAGGGTTCATCTTATTGTCTTCTTCCTCTTGTGCCTGTTATACCCCACCAGAGCACAGGCTCCCAGCCAACTTGTCCTACCCTTTGCTATCACAACAAGCTCACCCCATGTCTTCCCTGTCTGTTTAACGTCACTCTCTTTCTCCTTTTTATCCCTCTCGCTCTGATCGTGCATGTGTGTGTGTGTGTGTGTGTGTATGCGTGCATGTGTGTGTGTGTGTGTGTGTGTGTGTGCGCGCGCGCGCGCGCATTTATTCCACTAGCCATTTGTGGAGATTCTCCTAGGTGAAAGAAGGCATTTTGGAGATCCTGACATCTTTTAGATTTTAAAATAGGGAGTTATCTTCTTCTGTTAGAGCTTCCCCCCTTTGGTTGGCTGGGCATTACTTGTTGTTCTTAGACTTGTCCATAGTTGGCTGGTTGGCTCTTTAGACTTTTCTAAAGTTGGTTAGTTTTTGTGGCTAATGCTGTTTATCTGACGATGTAGTTATCCCGAAACCCAACCCTACCCTTAGTCACCTCTGTTGACACGCCTGGTTGGCTGCAGTTTTACTATTCCTTGCTTCCCATGAGTATCCCCGCTAATACACGGGAGTCCTCTACTAACACAAACAAAACAGGAGATCTCAATGGTGACCTAAGAAATTGTTCTTCTTATCAGAAATTCCTCTTATCCAAACAAGAGTACAAGCAAGAAACATTTTCAGGAATAAACAAATTGTTCTTGAGAAGCAGAAATTCGAAATAATCTGAGATCGCCTTAAGCTCTCTGTACTGTATAAGAATAGTGAGATGTTAAATACTGCTCTGACAGGTCATCAATGTTAATTAGGTCACTATATTCGGTTTCCCTTCTACACTGATAGGTCGCTGAACAAACTATTCAAAGTGGCAAGAGTATTGTAGCTGACAACACCAACCCATCCGTGGCTAAGAGGTCAGAGTTCATATCTCTGGCACAAGATGCAGGTTTGTAGCAACCCAGTTTGTTCCTCAACATATCCCGGCTAGAGTGTTTTGGATCCAGTTTCCTCTGTCTGTTGGCCCATTACTATAATTATATATGCAGACATTTATGCTTGTTCAAAAGTAGATTTTGATAGAGGTAAACATTTGCTGATATCAGTCACAGCCTTGTAAAAGTAATTATAATGTATACTCTCTGAATTGAAAAAAAAAAAAGAAAGAGAGAGAGAAAAATTATAGTGAAATCTATGGTAACAAATATTCCTGAAATAAAAATTATATACCTTCCTCACTGTGCAACCCAGTGTGGGTTTTGGGGATCTATGTTAGGAAAAACAAGAATAGACCTGCTGCCTGCCTAACTAGCATATCGTAAAGAGTGTTTCATTCAGATTCATAGTAAATCTGCCTGAGGCGAGGAATCAACATTCTGTATACAAGTAAGTCAGAAATGTAAAACAGACAAACAAGACTAAATTCCAAAAGAAGGCAAATAACGAGAACTTTCTGCCCGAGTTTACAGCCTGAAAATGCGAGAGAGAAAAAAAAAGAAGAAAAGTAAACAGGAAAAATTTTATTAATATGAACTTGCTTAAGAAGAAAAAAACTCTTAGCCAATATTTATTAATCTGAGTCACTGGTTAGCAGTTTTGACATCAACTCTTTATCTTTTGGTCCCTTGGAATTAGTGCTAGAGGGGTACTACACTTGGATATATATGTATGCTTTTTTATTATAACTAAAAAAAGTAAGAACAAGAGAATGTTACAAATAACAACAATATAAATAACGTATATGACCGAACTAAATTATTGCAGTGCAGACCACTTACAGGTGATTTTGGATGTGGTGAGTTTCTGTTGTGAAAAACAATTTTTTTATCCCCAGCAGTTTTTCTTGCTTTAATTCTTATTTGGATAAGAGGAAATTCTGATAATAGGAATCAATTCTTGGGTCCTCGGAGAGTTCTGCTTATCAGGTCTGCACTGTATATAATATATAAAGTGAGAAAAAAAGTAGACTAAAAAATAAAAAATAAACATCAACCAAGAAAAAGTAAGTTTATAAAGGGCTTGGTGTGCGGTGGCTAAGGGCCTACTCCACTGAGAGACAAAAGGAAGGAGAGAGAGGAAGATGGCTTCTGATACCCAATTTCTGAGGGTGCATTGACCCTACACCCATACGGAGTGGAAGACCCTACACCCACACGGAGTGGAAGACCCTACACCCACACGGAGTGGAAGACCCTACACCCACACGGAGTGGAAGACCCTACACCCACACGGAGTGGAAGACCCTACACCCACACAGAGTGGAAGACCCTACACCCACACAGAGTGGAAGATCCTACACCCACACGGAGTGGAAGACCCTACACCCACGCGGAGTGGAAGACCCTACACCCACACGGAGTGGAAACAATATTTTTTTCATCAGCTGAGAATTAAACCCAGACCACCATCTTGGCAGGCCAGCAAACCCAGCACCATAGTTAATGTTAGCCTTCTTTGGTTTACTTAATGATGTGATAATTAACACTATTGACAGGAATCCCATGCCGATGCATCTGGATGCAAACACCGATAGAGCTGGCACATCACCTGAACATGTTTAGACAACGACAAACCAAGGATGCAGTTCGCAGGGTACCAGATGTTGGATACAACATTTTCAAGAAAGACTTTCAGGCGCCAACAACAGCAGAAGGCTTCACAGAAATCATTAAAGTGAATTTTACTCCAAGATTTGACGACAAGTCAGATGAAGAATTGTTTCAGCATTGGACGGATTAAGTCAGATCATTTAAAAATTAATTCTTTAGATGTGTAACTGCTAAATTAATTTGTGCAAAAAATGAGTGCTAAAGTAAATCTTTCGACATATTATTTTGTAAATGATCTGGCTTGAGCGTGAGGATAAAGTGCCAGTATCTACAGTTACCCAATAAGACAGTCAGTAAGCCTAAAAATTACATGAGATTCTGGAAGATATTTAAAATGCTAAACTGCCAATTACTATCGGTTTTAACACTTTTGTGGTGCAGGCATCTGTCAGATTCTCTGACAGCCTGTCATCACAGCACAAGAATGATCAGTACACAAGCTGAAACAGTATATTTGAGATCAACAACCCCACTTGAGCATCTTGTGAAAAAATTTTTAGTAATAAACTGAAAGAGTTGAATCACACAAAGATTTAGAATGAACATTAGAATAGTGAATCCTGACTTCATATTTCCATATACAATGGCAGCATTCATGATCAAACATACCTATATAATACATAGATACATATGTGTGTGTGCGTTTGTGGGCACGCACGCGCGCGCGCACGCACGCACGCATGCACGCACGCACGCACGCACACACACACACAGAGATATATATATATATATATATTTATATATATATATATATATATATATATATATATATATATATATATATATATATATATATATATATATATATATATATATATATATATATATATATATATATATATATATATATATACTGCGGGTGAGTCCCATTCCTCCTCACTGTCTCCTGTTGTCTGGAAAGACGGAGAGGTGCCAGCAACATTCATCATCATGTTCACCCATGGTTATACCCATCTCCATAAACAAAGTTTAACATTCCAAGCATGAAAAATCCATCTCATGTTTTTCAATATTTCTGTTGTTGGTAAAAATCAATTGTATTTATGACATTTTTTGTGTATATCACTGAAATGTTAGCTTTCAAATTGCTGATTACATACTGTGTAATATTTCAGCTATGTACGTATGACTGAAATGTTCAAGTTGTTATATAACTCTTTGAGTCCCAAGAAACGCATCATACGTTCATAGATTCCTACCTAGAAGCCCAATGAACACAAGATGCGCCGATTGTACGTCTTTCTTGACTACCCCTTGGCTGTGATGCTAAACCTCCTGGGACTCAAAAAGATAATATATTACTGTGTTATTTCAATAAACATATTCTGTATTCCAAGAAATATAACTGAAATATACAAAGTATCAGTACTTGAGATTTATATATATATATATATATATATATATGATGACAGTCTTGATAGCAACAAGTCAAAAAGAACTACTGGAAATGATAGACATTGTGGTGTTAGAAAGTGGAAGAATGGGCTTCAGTTTGAATAATGGAAAGACAGAAGTAATGGTGGCATGAAAGAAACGAATTATTCCTAAATGTGTAATAAAAGTCAGTGGTGTTATTTTGGGACAAGTACAGAAATGTAAGTATCTAAGCACATGGATAACATCAGATAGAAGAAGCATCACCGAGATGAAAAACAGAATAGGACAAGCAAAAACTGCATTTTATCAAATGAAGAACATCTTATGTAATATATCTCTGTCATTGACGGTTAGAAAAAGAAATTTTGCTTGCTACACCCTCCAGTTTTAATACATGGCTTGAGTCCTGGAGGTCAGTAGGCAGGCCAAACAATTTCTGGACGCCTCGGAGATGTGGTTTTACAGAAGAATGCTTAGAATACATTGGACAGCCAAAAAGAGCAACTAAGAGGTTTTGAAAGAGGCGGGAGCCCGAAGACAACTTATCACAGACATCAGAAGGAGACAGTCATCATTTTTCAGCCATGTAATGAGAAGAAGGAAAATGGAACATGTTGTGACCACTGAAAAGATAGAGGAAGGAAGGACAGAGGAAGACAACGAGAGAAGACAGTCTTGTTACATGGCATGGAGGTGTGTCAGCACACGAACTGATACATGCTGCAGGAGATCGCAGATTGTGGAGAGGCATGATCGCCCATGCCAGTCAGCAAGGCACTTGGTGATGATGATGATATAAATATATATATATATATCGTCATGTGTTTCCAGAGAAAAATTTTTTACCAATCATAACAAATGCTTACATTTCACAGTGTTATAAGCAATATTACTTGAATATTTCAGTCATATATATATATATTATATATATATATATATATATATATATATAGATATATATATATATATATATATATATATATATATTATATTATATATATATATATATATATATAGTAATATTACTTATAACACTGTGAAATGTAAGCATTTGTTATGATTAGTAAAAAATTGTTCTCTGGAAACAATATATATGACTGAAATATTCAAAGTAATATTACTTATAACACTGTGAAATGTAAGCATTTGTTATGATTAGTAAAAAATTGTTCTCTGGAACAATATATATGACTGAAATATTCAAAGTAATATTACTTATAACACTGTGAAATGTAAGCATTTGTTATGATTGGTACAAAATTGTTTTCTGGAAACACATATGACGATATGTCATGAGACCAACTAGCCCACCGTCTGTGTTAAATTTTCCAAATGAAACCTGCTTAGAAAAGAATATTAAAAATACTTGCCCACAGAGAAGAGACAGGTACAGCTGATAAATCTCTAGTCCTCTCTACTGCTATGGTAGCAGTAGATGTAGAATATCGATTCTTTCTCTAAGGCACTGCTATGATTTACAATTACGTTGTAGGCTGATTTGATTCTCTTTAAAGTTTTATTATTAATGTTGTACAGTTTTATTTATGGCAGTTGTTGCTTTGGCATGGATGTTTGTGTGACTGATTAAACATGTAAGATATTTTGCAACATTTGGCGTGTTTTGTTAATCTTTTGTCACTATCTGGATCATGGCATGCCATGCTTGTTTCTGTTGTCTCCAGGCTTGTTTCTGTTGTCTCCAGGCTTGTTTCTGTTGTCTCCATGCTTGTTTCTGTTGTCTCCATGCTTGTTTCTGTTGTCTCCATGCTTGTTTCTGTTGTCTCCATGCTTGTTTCTGTTGTCTCCATGCTTGTTTCTGTTGTCTCTATGCTTGTTTCTGTTGTCTCCATGCTTGTTTCTGTTGTCTCCATGCTTGTTTCTGTTGTCTCCGTGCTTGTTTCTGTAGTCTCCAGGCTTGTTTCTGTTGTCTCCAGGCTTGTTTCTGTTGTCTCCATGCTTGTTTCTGTTGTCTCCAGGCTTGTTTCTGTTGTCTCCGTGCTTGTTTCTGTAGTCTCCAGGCTTGTTTCTGTTGTCCCCATGCTTGTTTCTGTTGTCTCCATGCTTGTTTCTGTTGTCCCCATGCTTGTTTCTGTTGTCCCCATGCTTGTTTCTGTTGTCCCCATGCTTGTTTCTGTTGTTTCCATGCAGGTTTCAGGGCCCCATTTGGAGACAAGACAAATGAACAGACTCACTACCCCAAACACGTATCCTACAATTGACTGATTAGGAGTAGACTGAAATTGGATTCTTAGGGTCAAAAGGTGCAGATATCACGGTCTAACTTTAAATCACAACATGATGTGCCAAGGTAGAAGCAGAAGAAGAAAAAGATGGTGCTGACACTCATGTATCCTCACAGGTATGTCCTTGTGTTTTGGATCAGTTTAACTGATTTCTGCAGATTGTACAAAGAAAGGACAAAGAAAGTAACATAAGTTACCAAACAGCGCCACTTTTGATGCATCAAAAAACCGTCAGATAACTATGCATTTCTTTCTTTCTATCCTTTTTAATAGGAAAACACTATCGGACAACTATGCATTTCTTTCTATTTCTTTTTTTTCACAAAAAAGCGCCATCAGATAACTATGCATTTCTTTCTTACTATTCTTTTTAACAGGAAAGCACCATCGGATAACCATGTGGGTAACAGTATATTTTACTCTCGTAGAGGTAACATGCTTCCTCTTTTGTTGCTGAGAAGTCTCTCCTGGTATTTGTAACGTCTTGTGGCTGAAAGAGTTATGGACCCTGGAAACACAAAAGGGATGTATTGGTTTGATCATTCTTCTTCTTCTGCTTTTGTCCTTAAAAGAGTGGCTAGCACATCATAATGTGGTTTACAGGTAGGCTGTGATATCTGCACCTTTCAGTCAACACATCCAAGTTCAGAAAGTCCTTAATTAGTCATCTTTTATGATCAGTGTATGTGGCTTAAGCGTTATGAACACACTTCTTAATTACATGGTGCCGGGTCCAATCCAAAGTGCTGGCAATTTGGCAGCAGACCACCTTGCATTTTTTTCAAAGTGGTATTGACAGCTGAATATTCAGAAAGCAATGGCAAACTAATGAACGTAAAACTGCCTAATGAAAACACAAAATGGCTGGGCTGGTTTTGCAAAGACCTACAAAGGTCATGCGACTAACTTTAAAATGTTTTTTTTAATGAAATGCTTTTTAGGGGGTTATCCCCCCCCCCCCCCCCCCCCCACCCCAAAGGGCCCAGAAACCACACAAGGAATTTGCTAAATGATATTACGAGGCTATCAAAAAACTACACACCCTCAAGAGAGAAGTGAGACCACAAATGAATCAAAGACAATTTATTTCAAAAACTCCAGCTGCATAGTAACAAGATTATTTCAATATAACAGTACCACATGTGCTACACAAACATTGTAGAAGTAAGCACAAGATTTATCACCAACAAATTCTGAGAACATAACAAGTAAAACTGAGTAAAGGACCCTTCTTGCACCAGGGGTGCATTATTGGGAATATTGTGCCAAAGCCAGATTTTTTATGAACTGCCAAACTGCTTAGATTTACCACTTTCATGGTTTAGACACAGTCTGAGGATTTATGGCCGCATGGCTAGTGCTGTCACCGTGCACTGTAGGCTAGGATTTTATTTTTGCCCCTGGCGGAACAAAAAATCCTAAACTTCACAGAGAATTTGAACCTGGGTCTCTCATCTAGACTAGCTGGTGTAAAAATGATCTATTTTGTGTTGATGGTATATTCCTGCACAAGAGTGCCTGGCTCATCACAGCTGCTGTGAGGACACATACGTCTATTGACAACTTGTAGAGACCAAACATTAGCAGCTGCTGTGAGGACACATACGTCTATTGACAACTGGTAGAGACCAAACATTAGCAGCTGACTGAATCCATACCCTCATTTTCCCCCATTCTGAAGCACTTTGTGACATGTCCTCATGCTGCTACTGTCTTCTCACATAATTTTATACAGTTTAATCTAAGTCCTTGTTCTGTGTTTTATCATTCTTGGAATCTCACGTTCATAATCATTATTGTCTGTTTTTACTAATGTTTTTAAAGTTAGGGTTATGTAGGTTTGGGGCGGGGTGGGGGAGAGGAGGGGAGGAAGGGGTGTCCTGAGGCTGAGGATTTAGGGCCGCACAGCCGCAGAGTCACCACGGATGATGCAGGTTGGGGTGTCATTTTTACCCTCCACAGAAAAATATCTATTACCTTACCAAGCATCTGAAGCAGGGTCACTCCAGTGTTATGTTGACTACAAACTAGAAAAGTCTGTTATCATTCTTTTTTATGGCACAGAGAAAGGAACATGATAAATAGTTAATGTGTCTGACCCCAAATTTATACTTTTGGAGGTTCTAGCCCGCCACCTAAAAAAGTTTACAGGAATGTTACAAAAACTGCATAGGTAACTTTTCATTGGCAGTCTGATTGAATAGGTTAGTTGGCTGTTTTAAGGCATCAGAAAATGATATATTTATATAATCAATAAGTTGTTTTAAGTCTACTGCAGAGGGAAATGATATATTTATATAAACAATGAGTTGTTTTAAGCCTACTGAAAGGGGGAAATGATATATTTATATAAACAATCCAACTAAGTAGTTCATCAGATCCATGTAAACAGGTTCACAATATCACAGCAAAACATTCACAATAGTCTATACAAGAAAGACTGTCAGTTTAGTTCAATACATAACAAAGTGAACAAGGCAGCAAAATTATCCAAAGTAGAAGTTTCTTTCATGAAAGACGTTCAAATTAAAAAACAAGAGAGTATTCATGTTCTACTTCATCATCATTATCATCACCACCACCCCGTAAAACTGGCATGTCACCAGTTTCTGTTGACTGTCTGATCAACTCCCTCCATCTCTGACGGTCAGATGCAATAGACTTCATGGCTGCATGCCTAAAGCCTGTCCAGTCAGTCTAGTTCTGTGTCCAGGTCTTTCTTGGTCTCCCTCTTCTCCTCTACTGAGCCCAGTCGTACTGCTTCTGAGAAACGTAGTATAGAGCAGCTTTATACCAAAGCCAGTAGTGATGTCATGCTGAACACACAAATGTGGAAATGGTTCCAAACAACAGTGGAAGTCCGACAGGGCTGCCTCCTCTCCAATATTTTATTTGCCAGACGGAAAATTATCAGGACTGATTTTTAAAATATATTTCAACACTTTAATTATATTATTACTGAAATTGGATACCAATGAATAAAAAAATAAAAGATATATTCATCATCAAATTGGATACCAGAATAAAGGATAACATAAAAAATAAAAGATATATTCATCATCAAATTGGATACCAGTGTAAAGGATAACATAAAAAAATAAAAGATATATTCATCATCATCATACAGTTGTGTCATTTTATGTCACATAGGGCTCACTGTCTCTTCCCGCATTCCATTCTATCCTGTGTAATCCTTTAAAAATGATGGATGGAAATCCGGTCTAGTCCCCTTTGCCTCCCTCAGGAAAGTTTATTTAAGGTTTCTCCTGGATGCCCTCATGTCTTCAGTCCATCTTTGACCCACTCTAGTGACAGTTTGCTGGTTCTCTGCCTGCTTCTTCTCAGAATGTGCCCAATACAGTGCCGCCTTCTTTGTTGTCAAACTGCTGCCACCAGGAACAGATGTATTCCTCTGACATCAAACATGCCATCTCCTATCACACTTTTGTTGTTGTTGCCAAAATAACCTTGATGTTTTGGTTTGAAACCCCACATCCTCACCTTGTTGCATTCCCACTACAAATGTTGCACAGCAGTTATATGACACACTAGTGCGCCAAGGGGCACCCGCTGGGACTGCTAGACTTGCCAACTGTAGACTGTCAGTTCTAGAACTGGTAGACTCCTATAGCCCCAGACAGTCTTGCTCCCGCTGGGACTGCTAGACTTGCCAACTGTAGACTGTCAGTTCTAGAACTGGTAGACTCCTATAGCCCCAGACAGTCTTGCACCCGCTGGGACTGCTAGACTTGCCAACTGTAGACTGTCAGTTCTAGAACTGGTAGACTCCTATAGCCCCAGACAGTCTTGCACCCGCTGGGACTGCTAGACTTGCCAACTGTAGACTGTCAGTTCTAGAACTGGTAGACTCCTATAGCCCCAGACAGTCTTGCTCCCGCTGAACTATGTTCTGCTGTTATTAAAAGAGTGACCTGTTTTAGGGGTTAGAGAAACAGATACATATTACCTGTCTGTTATAAACATTACCTGTCTGTTATAAACATTACCTGTCTGTTATAAACATTACCTGTCTGTTATAAACATTACCTGTCTGTTATAATATTTGAAGACAATAAATAGAGAACAGAATTGTTTCTACACTGTTGTTTGACTGGTTTATAATTCTTCTGCAGGCTGTGGAGTTTCTTTCAGGTTTGTGGCATTCTTCTTCTTCTTAGCGTTCACCAGCTTAAACTCCTGTAGAAAATTATGGGTGTTCATCCTCTTCTGGACTTTGGTCTTGTTCCAGAACTAAGACTTTTGCATGCAAATAAATTTTTAGACAGGGTTTATTGTATGCGGACTGTTGGTTCCTGGCCTCAGGTAAATGCACTGCAACTTCAAAGGAAACACCCTAACGAAATGCTTGCTAGAGGCAGTGTTTTGACCCCTCAAAATGAGACTCCTAGAACTAATACAGGGAATAAGACAGATGATACTAGAGTCATATCTATACCGACTAACTAGCATGAATGGTTGGTGTTGTCAACATCACAGGCAGTCTGAAAAAAAAAAAATTTCAGGAAAATGTGGATTTGAGCCCAAGACCTTTGGGCCAGCAGGTGAACATTTCACCACTACACTACTGCTTCTTCTCCTATAGTCATGTTCTGCCTTTCAGCGTCAGGTTGACACTACTGCCAGACAATGACAAGGGAACCACAATTGTTTTAGCACTGCTAAATGATCAGCTGGAAATTTGTTTGACAGTCTGCAGATTTTCTGAGGGTCTGGTGATGCATTAACATTCAGGTCACTTGAAACAAGCTTGCCTCTGCAGAGGTGGTACAGAGACTTGTCTCCTACAGTACTATAACAGTATGGACTAGCACCATGGCCCAACACATTCACAGTTGTGGAAGTGAGACCAGGAAATAAAAGTCTGTTTTACAAACCAAATTAAATATATATATAAAAAAAACAAAACTAACCTTATTCTTACAGGAGATGACTGCAAGTTGTGAGCCAAATCTGGCCAAGTCTTCATCAAGAGTTAGCTCTCTCCATGCCTGCAAGCAAGCATTCATCAGACAAATACAGTGAACAGTTTGTACAGATGAATAGACTAAACCATGTGCAACCAGACCTCATTCACAGATGTAGTCAACTCTTTTATTCCCAAACAATGCATGATTTGCTCTTCTGTGAATCCCACCCTACATGTAGTGTGTTCTAGTACTTTTTTTAAACATTTGGCCAGGGCATACCAAAGAAATCTGACTTTCCTCAGTATTGAGCTTCTTTGAAAGTAATATGCTAATGATTTTTTATAGTGGTTATCAATACTCTTGGGTTCTCTGAAGTCTTCCCATGTTGATAGAATTAAGCACGAATCATCAGTGATGTCATGTCATAAAACAAAACAAAAGTCATCCACTTATAACACTGCACCATGGGCAACCACAGTGGTAGCTATCATTCACAGACAAAATCAAGCAAGAATGAAAATGTCATCACTACAATCATTGGGAAAGGCAACATTTCATAGATTCATTTCTCCTTCTTCTGTACTCACCCTGAAAAGGTGGTTAGTCCCCTTTTATGACAGCAGGACAGGTTTGCTGGGAAGACTAGTGGGAGAGAAGGGGTATTCTGCCCCCCCCCCCCCCCCCCCATATTTTCCCGTTCTTTCTCTCTCATTAAAATAAGGTCCTTGAACCTGCATGTGGAGCACAAACTCAAAGATAACAGTTCACAGAGCTGAACAGCACAGCACTGTGAGCAAACACAATGGTGCAGTCACCATCCTTCTTCTTCTTCCTCACTCACTGACAGGCTTGCATCTTTGTCCATGCCTCTAATAAAAGTGGTAGTTTCAGGCTCATGACACTTCCACAGATTTTGGTGGGAAGTTGCCTGATGGCACATCTGAGTATGTTTCCTCATCGTATCTGACCAGGACTGTCGATGATGAATTGTTATCTAGACAATGCTAAAAAAAAAAGTTTCTCATTTTCTTCTGATGTGGGTTCTGGGATTCCGCTAGAAAGGGGGAAGGAGGGGGAGAATTACTGCTCCTTAACAAGCATGTCAAAAAAGTCGATAAATTAGGGTTTTCTTCGAATTCAGACACAGGGAATCAAGAGGCTGCGTACACACGAGCCAGTGTAAAGTGGATGTGCCCACAAAACTCAAGTTCTGGAAAAAAAGACCAAACCCCAGAAGTGGATGAACAACCAGAACTTTCTGCCAGAGTTTACAGAAGGTGAACATGAAGAAGAAGAAAGCAGATTTCTCATTTGTAATGTTTTTATGAACAACTCCTGCTGTTCTCGGTACTTCCAAGCCAGATCTCTTCTCTGTCCATAATAGCAGCTGAAATAGCATAGTGGCTAAATGCTCGCATTCTGGCCTAAAGTTTTAGGTTCAAATCTGCATTGAGACATTTTTTCCTTCAAACTGACTTTAGCTCAGAGACTGAGCCAGCCTAAAATTGGCACCATAAACTGGCACTAAACAATACAGCAAAACTGGCCGACCTACCGTTTGACCAGGGCATGGTTTGATGGTGGAAAATGGAGCACATTTAGAGGTAGCATCCCCCAAGGGAAAATGTTGGCCTCCAAGGTAAATGTACACCCTGCCTTGCTGGGCTGTGAAACAAACATACCAGGTGTAACATATCTGAGGTAAATGAAATAACAGCTGAAAGGGCAGGCCACAAACATCAAATCCCCTGCATCTGACTGAGAGAGCTGCAGGGAACTGACCAGACAGTCAACAGTTATCTGGTGACCCAACAATGCTACCTGGGGTTATGGGACTATGATGATGATGGTGATGAAATATTGGCATCACTGTGGTACAAACAGGTTTGTTATGATCATAACTGACGTGAGACATTTTTAAAAAGTCTGTATTGCTGTCAGAAAAAAAAAAAAAAGAATTTTTCACTTGTCTTTTCTGCACCAGCTACATCCACATGACTATGAAGTCAAACAAGAATATATAGTTTTCATTCTTGATATTTGTTCTCCATTCAGTCTGGTGCAAAAATACAAAACATTTTAAGTTTATGAATAAATATTTGTGTAGCTATGGCATTTTTTAGTATGCACTAAAATATGTGGTATCTGGGAAATTGTAAGGGTTAACAGGCTTAGCAGTGAGGGGGTTAACATTGCAGTGGCTTAGAAAGAGGAGGAAGTGAAGGCATAGCTGCTGGTAGTAAGGTAAGGGTTAACAGGCTTGGCAGTGAAGGGGTTAACATTGCAGCGGCTTAGAAAGAGGAGGAACTGAAGGTATGATTGCTGGTAGTAAGGTAAGGGTTAACAGGCTTAGCAGTGAAGGGGTTAACATTGCAGCGGCTTAGAAAGAGGAGGAAGTGAAGGCATAGCTGCTGGTAGTAAGGTAAGGGTTAACAGGCTTGGCAGTGAAGGGGTTAACATTGCAGCGGCTTAGAAAGAGGAGGAACTGAAGGTATGATTGCTGGCAGTAAGGTAAGGGTTAACAGGCTTAGCAGTGAGGGGGTTAACATTGCAGCGGCTTAGAAAGAGGAGGAACTGAAGGCATGGCTGCTGCTAGTAAGGTAAAGGCATTCAGGTAGTGGAACACACCTTGTGCAAGAAAAATGCCTAAAGCATGGAACTACCAGATCAGGGTCTATTCAGCAGGCAGAGACAAGAGTAAAATGTGATAGGCGACACCAAGAGAACATTGTTTAATACAATATTTGTACCGACATTATGATAACGTTCTTCTTCTTCTTTTCTCTACTTCTGGAATATCTCACACTGTAAGGTCAGAAAGAGTTCTCTTAAGTGGAATTATTAACACAACAAAACAGATCAGGAACAATCCCAATAACAGAAATTAAATTTCTACGACAAAGCATGAATGCAAAATGAAGGAAGGATCAGACATGACAATATCAGGAAACAAAGTGTTATGGAACCAGTGCTAAACTAAATCAGGACACAGCATGTCCAATGATCTGGACTGCCTCTGGAACAGTACATCACAGAGAGAGACAACAGAAGCAGAGCTAGAGGCCACCAACATGGGCGATGAATAAACTGAATATTTAAAGCTGTCAATGCCAGCATTCATGCATAACACATCAATGCTTTTACTAGAAGCTTCTTCAAAATCCAACACTGGAAAACAAAACTGGATTAGAAAGTAGAGGGGATGAGAGAGTCCTTTTAAAAGTAAAGCACCTGCTAAAAGATGAACACAATCTCATCTTACTTCTATTTCTTCTTCTCTGGTCTTGCTCTGGCTTTTCAGTAACAGGTTTTTAAGAGGCATCAGGTGCAAGCCCTTCATATGTTCTACGTAGATGTGGGTATGTACGGTCCCATATATTACATCCATACATCATTTGTGTGGTTGGTTGACCTCTAGTTCTGCTTCTATTTTATGATCCTGTCTCTTCCAGATACATTTAGAATTCATCGTAGACATTTCATTTATCATTCAGATTTCTCCTCTAATAGTTTGTTTTGAGCAAAACATAACCCGTTATCAGCTTGCCAGGCCTGTCACAGTTAAAGGGATTATTTAACCAAGTCAAGAGTCCCCTTAGCCTGAGACCCTTGCGCCGCTGTTCTCTGGTGTGCAGTGCTTGAAGGTGGGTTGGCTTGTGTGTCCTATGGGTGGTTGGCAGGCTACTAACTTTCTCTTGTCCTCCTTCCAAGGAAGAGCTAGTCAATACCGACACTGTGAACTTGCAGCGCCCCCATTCCCCTCGCTTGGCCCTACCTAATGCACACCCTAGCATTGTTAGTTAAACAGCAAAGAGAAGATAATTACACTGATAATTACCTCCACTTAGCTCTTCTGTGAAGTCATCTGTTCGCAATGGAGCCCCAATGATCAGATCATCATAACCATCTCTATTCAAATCTGAAAACTGGTTATGTAGCAGGTACATTTACAAACTAACAATAGATCACTGTAATAACAGTTTATCATAAATACTAAGTAAAATCCTCCAAAAGTTGATTATACAGATTATAAACAGCACATTCATACCAACACTTTACTACCAGTGCCTTAGTTGGACATTATCAAAGGCTCACATATGTAAAATTAACACCTGTGAAATGAGATGCCTGAGAAAATTTGCCAACTTAACATCTGAGACAAAGTTAGAAATGATTTTATCAGACAAGACTGTAGGAACAACACCAAGCAGCAAATTCATTGAGAAACAGAAGATCAAATGGTTTGGTCATCTAGTAAGAATGCAGCCAGAACAGCTACCAATGCAGGTGCTACACATGAAAAGATCTGAAGTAAAAGCAAGAGGCTGCCCTAGGAGAACATAGATTGATGATATATAAGAGTTTCTACATCGACATAGAATGACAACATCCATTGTTGGACATCCAGCAATGGATCGCAAACTGTTCTTCTCCACAACACTTAACGGCAGAAGTGAAAATTTGATGATGATGATGATGATGGTGATGGTGGTGGTGATGATGATGATGATGATTGTTAAATCAAAGCTCAAATTACAAACAGCATCGTACAAATGTTGCTCTTGTACCACACACACTTTCTGTATACTTCAGAAAGCTGCAGTCTTTTTCTTTTTTTCCTGTCTTGCCTTTCTTCCCCTGTCAGTGGTTGTCATATGAGAAGGCCACATGCCTGTATGAGGTCTGTGTTGTGCGATGCGTGTCTTCACCTGTTCCACACAATTTAGTTTCAACTGGAATGCCGACCGGCCAAACCTGGGATCTCACTACTGCATGTAGAAAGCAAGTGTCAATTTGAGGATCTTGACATCCCCACAAAGGTTCGTCCAGGTGCAGGCCAGAATTATTGTCTGTTCTGAATGTCTTGTACACTCTTGGGGCTAATGAACACATTCCAGTTATATTCACCAGTGTCTGCTGTCTGTAGCCAACCAAACAAGTGGGTTTCCCTGTGGCATATCCTGTGTAGAATCTGAATACTGCTGTCTGTAGCCAACCAAACAAGTGGGTTTCCCTGGGGCATATCCTGCAAATCCAAGAGTTTCATTATGGATGGTTATCCAACAGGACAAATCCCAGGTACCATGTTGAACTTTCAAGGAAATTATAATGAGGGTATCTGTGACTGGCTGTACAAGGTGGTGCACGCTGTAGTTATGTTTGGGTAAGGGATTATCAACAGGATTATTTCCTTTGTGTGGGGTCCAGGGTTCCACTTCGGAGAATAAAAGACCCCCACCCCCAGGGATTATATTATACCATTTCCCTGCTTACATTCCGAACAGATACCAATTATTCCTAAGGTAAACTAAGGGCTGACAAAGAAACACAAAACAGGCACTGAAATGAGAAACACATGGCCTGAGAAAGCGAGAATGTCCAATGTTGAAGAAAGAGGCCAGAGATGCTGGACTCGATGCCATGCTTATCACAGAAACAAATAACAGACTATAACCAAAGGTATGCAGACAAATAACAGACTATAACGAACCAAATGCAAATAACAGACTATAACCTGGGGTATGCAGACAAATAACAGACTATAACCAATATGCAGACAAATACAGACTGTAACGTTTTCAAATAACATCCAAAGGTATGCAGACAAATTTACAGACCAACCCTGGTATGCAGACAAATAACAAGACTTTAATTAAAGGTATGGACAAATAACAGACTAGGACAAATATGCAGATAACATGTTATAACGAAAGGTATGCAGACAAAACAGACTATAACGAGGGTATCTGACAAATAACTGTATAAAGAAGGTATGGTGACAAATAACAGACTATAAAGGTAAGGTATGCATCAAATAACAGGACTATAACCTTTGGTATGGGGTCAAGGGTAACAGACTATAACGGGTATGAATAAAAGAACAGACTATAACCAAAGGTATGCAGACAAATTTCCCTGACTATAAAGAAAGGTATGCAACAAATAACAGACTATAAAGAAAGGTATGCAGACAAATAACAGACTGACAAAGAAATGCACAAAACAGACTGATAACGAAAGACATGGCCTGACAAATAACAGACTATAAAGAATGTTGAAGACAAATAACAGACTATAACCAAAGGTATGCAGATGCTTATCACAGAAAACAAAGGTATGCAGACAAATAACAGACTATAACCAAAGGTATGCAGACAAATAACAGACTATAACGAAAGGTATGCAGACAAATAACAGACTATAACGAAAGGTATGCAGACAAATAACAGACTATAACGAAAGGTATGCAGACAAATAACAGACTATAACGAAAGGTATGCAGACGTGCTGACCTGCACGTGGTGGTGCACCGGGAACATGACTGATACTGGCTAAGAGCTACCTATGGTCAAAACAGAAACAGGTTCCTAACCGAGGGCCTGGCCAGATTAGGATCAACATTCCTTTGATGTTGGACTGCATCTGCATGAGAGAAGAGAAACTAACAGTCTGCAAACAAATAAGATGGATATTTAAAATAGATGTGCACGCAAAACTCAAGTTCTGAAACAAAATCTTAGCCTGGACAAACAATCTGGACTTTCAGTCGGAGTTTACGGCCGGTGAACTTGAATCAAGAAGAAAATAAAAGAATGACAAAAGTTGACTGACTGCAAGCCCATGTGACGCATAATGCAACAAAAGGATAATGACAGGTAAGAGTTCATGAAATCCTGGTTTAACAAATCATATAAACACAGTTACCTTCATGTGTTGGCCAAACCTTCCAAACTTTCTGTCCCCACTGAAAACTGTCAACAGACTCTGGGAAGGGCTGGAGAGATTGTACAGAAACACAGAGCCGGCCTGTTCGAATGTGGCAGCAATGTCAAACTCATGGCCCATCACATCTGGGATGTCAGAGAAGGTGATCAGCTGATCATGTGGCAACAGTTACAGTGTCATCGTTGGCATTATGCTAAAGCCACTAAGTATTAAATCTTTGGTTCAGAGAAAATTTTGTTTCAACATTTTACTTTGGCAAAATTCCTAATGAAAAAAAACTGTAACTGAATGAAAGATAATATTTCATTGTGATCTAACTGTAGTAAGAATTCAGGTCTAAGCCTCTGGTATATTGTAAAGTTCCCGTGTGGGTTCCGGAGCCACACTGTGGGGGGTGAAAGAAACTAGACCCACGGCCTCCCCAATATGCATGTTGAAGGAGTCAAATAATTGGGGGCTTCTTTCGAAGTCGGAGTGCATCTGCCCGGGTGGCAAGGAACAACCAACTGCACAATAATAAGCCAGTAAAGCAGATGTACATGCAAAAACTCAGGCCCTGGCACAAAGCCAAAGTCCAAATGGATTTTCTGCTGGAACTTACAAGGTGAACAAAGAAGTATACTGTAAAAGGACAAATAACAGTCCGGCACAGTCGGGCAATCACACAGATACACACAGAGAAACATTTGTACACATACATCAGTCTGAAAATACACACTATCTGGCATTCACACTGACACACATAGAGAAACATTTGTACACATACATACATACATCAACAACATTTATACATACACAAACTTACATAAATCAACATATCCCTACATTCATATACAAACAAGCAAAATCCCATATTCACATAATTAATAGAAAAACATACTATGTACAGACACAATATAATATTCCAACTAGCAAAAGATAGGAAACAACATCTAACTCCTCTCTGTGACGCTTTATAGCATAAGTAGTGGGACAAACAAAGAAGAAGAAGAAGAAGTAGAAATTCAGTAGCATGAATATATTACAATGAACATTAAACAAAGTCTAGAACATTAAAACACCAGCAGAAAACATACGCACTTTGACCTGCAGCTGCAATGGCCAACACATCTGTCGACTGACCAAAGGGCTGCCCGAAAGCCACCTGGGCACCAAACAACTGAAACGTCTCTGTGCCCTTAAAGACCTGCTGTAACTGGACAGTGCCATTGTAAGTGGACATAAGGTGCAGCTGGCCAACCGACTGGACATCACTGGTGGTAAACGTACAGTCTGCTCTGTGATGATGTAAACAAGAAATATGCTCACAATTAAAGAAAGAAAAAAAAACAGTAGTGAGTAAAACAGAATAAACAATTTAATAAAACTAACCTTAACTAACTCTCAGCGGTGACTTTAAGTCGCATGGATGTCTTATTAGCCGCAGTTTATGCGGTGGTGGTCGCAGAAAGAGGTTCCCACTAATATATATACATATGATGATGTGTGTGTGTGTTAGGCTGAAAGTTCTACTTGGTCATCTACCTCTGGACTTAGTCTTGTTTCGGACAGTTAGTTTGCATACAGAGGATACAGTACCCAAGATATAAATAATTTAGGCAACTTGAATTTGAACTCAGCAACACCGGGCACTAAATGCATTCAAATGCATCCGTCGCTCCCGCAGCGCATGTCTTAAGGTTTAGATGTTTACTGCTCCAATAGCACACTGATTATCATATATCTCATTATCTTCCTCTCATACGCCCTCCTTGCGGATTCCATGTTCACACATTTTTACCCATGTTATTTCACCTAACCTTGTGGGTTCTATCAGCATTTGTTCATAAATGGTTTTCAGAATGTCTCTTTTGTGCAGTACAAGTTTTCCTTTAGCTATTGCCTTTGTAGTACCTCCCCACCCCCTTTCCCACTACCACCACACACGCACATGCATGCACAGGCACACACACAAACACACACGGACAGTATATCCATGTGAATGTGTAATGTTGAACTGCTAATGCCTGGTATCACACATGTCAAATTTGTCCTTTTGAACCCTCGGCAGTACAGAGAATCAGACACTATAATTTTTCAGCTAACTTAATTTCTGCTATCCCACTCAAGAGCTGCAGTGATTACCTCCACCTCCATCCTTCTGCTTGAAAAGCATCTAGATAGAGAAAGAAGAGTACTTTGATGCAGGCAAATATAAACTAAGTACTTTTCTAAAGCCAGATCACCCAATGTGGGTTCTGGGACTTCATTGTGGGGAAAACCAGAACTGACCCACTGCCTTCCCAAAAAGCATGTCATGTCCTAAGTGTTGACTAACTGGGAGCTTCTTTCAAAGTTGGAGTGCATCAGCCTGAGAGGCAGTGAACCAACAGTCTGCATGCACAAAAGTCAGATCTGTAAACAGGTGTGCATTTAGCCCTGGAACAAGAGGTAAGTCCAGAGGTGGATAAACAACCAGAACTTTGTGCCAGAGTTTACAGCCAGTGAAAGCAAAGAAGAAGAAGAAAGCCAGATGTATCATGTTCTCACCTGGCACACTTCCGATAGCAAGGTTCTCCAACTGCCAGATATGTTTCATTGTTACCTTTAAACTTCTTCACAGACATACTGCTGCCTAGCCAGCTGTAATTCTGGGGAAAGAAACATTATGTTATAAGTTATTTAAGATCTACGAGGTACCTTGCCTGTATTACCTTTACACGATCATTTTCCAGGGATTTACTAGAAACTGAAGGAAGCATTGAATAGCAACTTCAAAGTCCTACTTCATGCATCCTGCTCCAGAAGAGTGTTGCCTCTGCAAGTTTTAAGCATCTGAGGCGGCTAAGGACTGCTGGCTGCCTCTCATCCCTCCAACTGAAAAAGCTTATTAGTGTCTTACGCATAGAGGCAGTGGGTCTTTTGTTTTCAACTGGCAGCCCACAGGCCAAATCTGTCATGCATGAAAGACTAGAAAGCAGAGGCCCTAAGGATTGCCTTCCCACTGTCTTGTTGTAATAATGAAATTGTCTATGACTAGGGGCCCATGGATTCCTCTGGCCAATGACGATAATGACGATTCCCATTTTCAATATATTAGCCCCTGATTAAACTTAGCTGAATAGCCCTGATCTAGCAAGTCCTTGCAGAATGTCACTCTCATCCCGGTTTGCCTGAAAGAAACTCGGTCTCATGCCAGCTCTACCACCTCCTGCACTTTCCTACCCAAAGTGTCATATCCTGTGCCCATCTTCATGCTGGTCGATCCCTGTCCTTCTTTCCTGGGTCCCTGCCATTTGCTATTCTTTTAGTTCAATCTGCCATAGTGTTTGATATGGCCAAAAATTTCTGCTTCCGAGACAATTTAATGTTTATTAACCCATTTTTCTTGATAGATCTTTGAGGATGTCAATATTTTCTTCTTCTTTGTCTATGGTATTCTGAGAATCTTTCTATAGCAGTTCAGCTTGGAAGCCCATATCTTTCCCCTTAATGACTGCAAGACAGTCCACAACTCACATCTGTGTGTTACTACAGGAAAGATGCATGCTCCCAACATTCTGACTTTGAACAAAATAGCTTTAAATGGAAAATCTAACCAATCATCAACAAGCCTTGCATGAGTTGCTTGAGTACCTATGCTCCACTGGGAGCTGAACGGCAGAAAAAGAAGAAACAGTGGACTAAACTGAAGGCAGGCAGCCATGAAGTCTATTGTATCTGACCGTCAAAGGTGGAGACAGCTGATCAGACAGTCAACAGCAACTGGTGACCCAACAACATGCAGTGCTACGGGATGATGACGATGATGAGAATTAAAGCCCTGACAAGTCATTTAGATAAAGGTTTGAATTATCTTACCTGTGAGCCATGGATTAGAAAGTCATCTGGTGCAAGTGTCAACTGGAGTTCACCTACATCTGAAAACAAGAATACTTTGTGATATACTAAAGCAGAATTACAGGGAATACATATTGAGAAAGCCACCATCATTACCGATAGACTCTTGGTATAAGAGAAAAACTGACCATAAAGTAGCAGAGAAGATTGTTTTGATCACAGCAGCTGGCAAACTGGTTAGAATGTGGTCTCTCATGTGGGAGACCAGGGTTGAATCCTCTGTAAGGATTGGAGATTTCCTTCTGTCTGGAGCAAAATGGAAATCCTAACCTGCACAGTTTGTGGCGACTGCACTAGTCATGCAGCCTGAAATTCTCAGGCTCAAGATTCCCCGTCTTGTGCCAGCAAGTGTCAAATAGAGGCGGTAAAAAGAAGTTATGCTCCATGGTGGCTAGAACAATCAACAGCTGCTTGACAATTAATAAGATGAGTAGAGCAATCAGATAATAACAGGTGGAACAAGAGGAAGAAAAACAAGAAGCAGAAAAGCAAGAAAAGAACAAAGAAATAAAATGGAAGGAAGGAATGAAGGTTAGAAGACAGGAAGGAAGGAAGGATGCGGGAAGGGAGAAAAAGAAATAAAGGAAGAGGATGAAGAATGAATAAAAGATGGAAGAGGAAAAAAAAAAAAAGAGGAGAGAAAGAAGAGAATGAAGAAAGATGAAAAAGAAGAAGAGGAGGAGGGGGAGGGGAAAGTAGATGGAAAAAAGGAAAAAATGAAGGAAGGTGAAGAAAAGAAATAGAAGTATGGACTTTCCAGCAGATCAAGTGTTCAGGTTTGCTTATATACCTTAAAGATGAGCCTGGATTATAACCACGTACTTCAACATTGAAGCCGAGTGTGCTACTAGACAGCCACAGACAAGTTCATGAACTAAAATATTCAAAGTACCTGCATATCCACCGCTGGCATACACAACTGCAAGCATGCCCCTCTGTTCTCCCAGCCCAGGAGCAAATGGCGAGCCAATAACCAGATCCTCATAAAGGTCAGAGTTCAAATCACCAGTGGTAAGTGTTGTTCCCAGATTGCAATACACATCCTGTAATGGTGGCACCACAACAAAAAGTTAAAAGGTCACCCGAGGGCAGATTTTGCCCATGGCTAAAAATGAAGCGCAACTAGGTTTCTGTACATCTGCGACCAGGTGGCCAATTGGCTGGCCGGTAGACAACCTTGTCGCCAGTCGGGACAGTATTTAGGTCTGTCTCCTCTGATCACATCAACTCTGCAAGAATCCTTTTTCTTAGCTTTTGGTGGGGTGAGCAATGCTAAGTCATTTAATATGGCACACATAACCTAGTCACAATTATAACCTAAAGCTCCCCCTTTTGGGACGCTGGTTGAACGTAGCAATTTTTAAATATTTTTCCACAAAGCATGCCAAAAAGATTCTTGCACAATATGTCCCAACCATCCTCATACTAATACTTAACTAGCTACTCCTTCCATATGGCATTTAAAAAAGTCAAAATATGACTTGTCCATCCCAACAGGCACTGTTGGTATGTGGTCTTTTCTTTTGCCTTTCAATTCCCAAAGGGGCATTGGACAAAATCATCAAACCCATCCACATCAGACAGCAGGCTAAGTCCTAAAGTTAGTGCGCCCCAATATAACTGCAATTATTCTCCTTCTCATGATATAATCAAAGAATGTAGGTTGTCTCCTTCTTATGTGGGACATCAATTCTCTTTGTGAGTCCGTTTCTTACAAGACATCTTCATTACTTTTTGTATATGCCCAGGGTATTCTCTTCAATCATCTACAAAGCCATGTTGCCACCACTTACAAATAATTTTTTATGAATCACCCAATTGCGCATGTTTCATTTCCCTATATCAGGATAGTATTTATACAGTTCTTGAGAATTCCCTTTTTGGTCTCAACTGACAAAGACAGATGGCACAGAATGAATATGGTGTCAGCTTCATTTTTAGAGATCAATTAGGACTCAATGAGTAATGTGGTCACATTATCTATCCCTGCTTCTCTGAATATTTTCTGGTACATTTTAGGCTGAGTCGACCTGTAGCCCGTGTTAGTATGTAGCAGGTCCTAGCCTTGATGGAAAATCCAACATATGACCACAGTAACAGTTTCTGAGTAGTGGTCACACAAAGACAAGGTGCAATAAGAATAAATTGAAGCCACATGCACTTTGGAAGTGCTCAGTTTTTCATTCTAAATAAATGTATGTGACTGTTCTACGAAGCAAACAGAAGGGCTTGTTCCAGAGATCTTGTCCTGTCTGATGCCGCAAGGTATTCCAGGAGTAGAGAACAGAAGGGCTTGTTCCAGAGATCGCGTCCTGCTTGATGCCGCAAGGTATTCCAGGAGTAGAGAACAGAAGGGCTTGTTCCAGAGATCTCGTCCTGCCTGATGCCACAAGGTATTCCAGGAGTAGAGAACAGAAGGGCTTGTTCCAGAGATCTTGTCCTGCCTGATGCCGCAAGGTATTCCAGGAGTAGAGAACAGAAGGGCTTGTTCCAGAGATCGCGTCCTGCCTGATGCCGCAAGGTATTCCAGGAGTAGAGAACAGAAGGGCTTGTTCCAGAGATCTTGTCCTGCCTGATGCCGCAAGGTATTCCAGGAGTAGAGAACAGAAGGGCTTGTTCCAGAGATCTGGTCCTGCCTGATGCCGCAAGGTATTCCAGGAGTAGAGAACATAAGGGCTTGTTCCAGAGATCTTGTCCTGCCTGATGCCGCAAGGTATTCCAGGAGTAGAGAACAGAAGGGCTTGCTTCCAGAGATCTTGTCCTGCCTGATGCCGCAAGGTATTCCAGGAGTAGAGAACAGAAGGGCTTGCTCCAGAGATCTTGTCCTGCCTGATGCCGCAAGGTATTCCAGGAGTAGAGAACAGAAGGGCTTGCTCCAGAGATCTTGTCCTGCCTGATGCCGCAAGGTATTCCAGGAGTAGAGAACAGAAGGGCTTGCTCCAGAGATCTCGTCCTGCCTGATGCCGCAAGGTATTCCAGGAGTAGAGAACAGAAGGGCTTGTTCCAGAGATCGCGTCCTGCCTGATGCCGCAAGGTATTCCAGGAGTAGAGAACAGAAGGGCTTGTTCCAGAGATCTTGTCCTGCCTGATGCCGCAAGGTATTCCAGGAGTAGAGAACAGAAGGGCTTGTTCCAGAGATCTTGTCCTGCCTGATGCCGCAAGGTATTCCAGGAGTAGAGAACAGAAGGGCTTGTTCCAGAGATCTTGTCCTGCCTGATGCCGCAAGGTATTCCAGGAGTAGAGAACAGAAGGGCTTGTTCTGAGATCTTGTCCTGCTTGATGCCGCAAGGTATTCCAGGAGTAGAGAACAGAAGGGCTTGTTCCAGAGATCTTGTCCTGCTTGATGCCGCAAGGTATTCCAGGAGTAGAGAACTGAAGGGCTTTTGCCAAACATGACGTCCTGCCAGGTGCCGCAAGGTATTCCAGGAGTAGGCTAACAGTAAGAGATCTTGCTGCTTGATGCCACAAGGTACCAGACTGAGAGAACAGAAGCAGACTACTAAGATATGTCAGTAAAGTCAACTGTTACAAGTAAAGGCAGGAGCTGTTCTCTCCACATCACCGGCTGAGATGCTGACCTGGTCTATAAAAGTCAGTAAAGTCCTGGTCCTGTTGGAGGCAGCTGTTTGCCACATCACCCACTGAGTGCTGATTGGTCTATAATCAGTAAAGTCCTGGGAAGTAAAGGCAGCTGTTTGCCACATCACCCACTGAGTGCTGATTGGTCTATAAAAGTCTAACCCTATGTGTGTAATGTGCCTAAAGGCAGGAAAAGGGTCATTTATTTGTCTCTCTTTCTCTCTGGATCAGTTCAGATTGCTATGATGACAATCAGCATCACTCTGTCTGTCTCTCCTTATCTATTTCTCTGTCTCTGTGTCTCCAGTCTCTCTTTGTACCTCTGTGTCCATTACCCTTAGTTTCATTGTCCATCACCCTTAGTGTCATACTCACTGTGTCATTCTGTGTCTCCTCTGCCTCTCTCTCTCTCTGTCCCTCTCTCCCCTACCCACCCCTACCCCTACCTCTCTACACAAAGAGGACAAGTGTTACCTTACAGGCTATCCAGCCCCGAGAAACAAACTGTTTTTGACTCACAGAGGAGTAGAGGAAAACTCTTCCCTATGAAATGGAACAAAGAATACTGTTGTTAGTCATTACACAGTGACAGTTTGTCTCCAGCTTGAAAATACATTGCTTTGTTTCTGTCACAAGCTGGTTTTTCTGTCACACAGTTACAGTAATAAATATCATAATATTAGAAGTCTCATTTGAAACCCATTCCAACGATTCTTTATTGTAAAAGTATGAAATGAACATCAACAGGTGTGGCAGAACTAAACAAAGAATTCATTTTGAATGAATTATGCACAATGGGTTTGTTCAGAAAGGCTGATGTAAGCACTGAGGCAAACATACCACTGCTTAGGTTTTAGCAGTGGATGCTGTCTGCACACAAAAGGATGTGGTTACTCACTGAAGTGTATACAATGTTCATTATGTGTGCATGCCTGCAAAATCATTTTTCTTTGAGAGTGGTACTGACTGTATGACTGCACTGAGTTTGTATAGTATTTGTTAAGCATGACTGCATTGAGTTTGTTTAGTATTTGTTAAGTATGACTGCAGTGAGTTTATTTAGTATTTGTTAAGTATGACTGCAGTAAGTTTATTTAGTATTTGTTAAGTATGACTGCAGTGAGTTTATTTAGTATTTGTTAAGTATGACTGCAGTAAGTTTATTTAGTATTTGTTAAGTATGACTGCAGTGAGTTTATTCAGTATTTGTTAAGTATGACTGCATTGAGTTTGTTTAGTATTTGTTAAGTATGACTGCAGTAAGTTTATTTAGTATTTGTTAAGTATGACTGCAGTGAGTTTATTTAGTATTTGTTAAGTATGACTGCAGTAAGTTTATTTAGTATTTGTTAAGTATGACTGCAGTGAGTTTATTCAGTATTTGTTAAGTATGACTGCAGTAAGTTTATTTAGTATTTGTTAAGTATGACTGCAGTGAGTTTATTTAGTATTTGTTAAGTATGACTGCAGTGAGATTATTTAGTATTTGTTAAGTATGACTGCAGTAAGTTTATTTAGTATTTGTTAAGTATGACTGCAGTGAGTTTATTTAGTATTTGTTAAGTATGACTGCATTGAGTTTGTTTAGTATTTGTTAAGTATGACTGCATTGAGTTTGTTTAGTATTTGTTAAGCATACTTAACAAATACAACACAAACTCAATGTGGTCAGATGAAACAGACAATAAAGTACTTACTGTATATGTAAGGTTCACTGAACCAAAGCTCGGAGCTCCGACAGCGATATCCAGACTCCCATCTTTGTCAATGTCCAGTATTGCTAATGAGGATCCAAACTGTGAATATGCCTGCAGACAATTTTTGTTTTAAAGATAATCTAAGTGAAGTATTAGTAATCAGTCTATGTAGATTAGATGTTTGTGTTGCTTTAATACAGTCAAAGTAGACCTACTGGCTTGCTACTAAATTGGTTGTGTCTCTTCTACAGGATGTTGCAGAACCAACCCCAGCATTTTTTGGCTGTTGTGGTTTTTCTAGGCAAATTTTATGTTCAATAGTTTGTCACTGCTTTCTGAAACAGATGTCGACAACTTGCTACTACATGGTGGAAAATAAGTGTGAGCCTACTGTATCAGTGACAAAGTGAGCCAGCTTTACTTTACCAGAGGAGCCAAAAACATTGTAGGAATGGCTCACAAACTGGCCAGGGTGTTGGAGCACCTCTCATTGGTAAGACCCATGAATACAGTCCCCAGTTTGGGTCAAGTTAGGTCTTCCCAAGGCAACAGGGTTAACAGAAACACTTGAATTAAAGTGTGACATTGAAATAAGGTTGATAATAAATTATCAAGTGAATTAAACTAATTATCATTGTTCTTGCAATCTTTTTCTTCTGTTTTAGCCCTTAAAGTGGGGTTGATAGCTTGTGCTGTGACAGCTAAGCTGTGATACATCTACCTTTTGGTCCAACACATCTGATTTAAAACAAATTCCTATTAGTCAACTTTTTTCCAGACATGCCTGTCAGGAGTCAGTGGGTCTCTTCTCCCCCCCCCCCCCCCAAATGGGTCCCTGGAACCCATCCTGGGAATTGTTCTTACCAAAAAATGCTACAAGAAAAGGAATTGAAAAACATTTATCAATTACCCCGTGTGGGTCTTCAGGTCCTGGTATCATGACATCTGCTAGCTGGGTGAGATCCCTGGAGGTCAGGTTTAATCCATTGTCAGTACCTGTCGGGTTGTTCAAAGTAATAAAAGTAAAAAGGAACAAATGAATTAATGGATATTTTAAATATTTTCTTCAGTAAATAAATTCTTGCTGTGTTTGCTGAATAAACAAAAATCTAAGCTGAGGCGAAGATTTCTGCAAAACCAGACAGTTTTTATAGGCCAATAAGTGGAAACGTTAAACAACTCCAAGTGAAGGCAGAGTGTTTCCTGTACAAAAAATAAAACATATTTCTTTTCTTAAAATTTATTTTCCGTTTAATTTGGTGCCAAAATACAAAATATGATAAGTGCACGTTAAATAACAGTGAAGCTATGGCATTTTTAGTACACACTATCTGGGAAAGTACAAGGGGTAGTTAAGGTCATGTAATTTGGTAGTCAGTGGGTTAAGAAGTATCATCATCATCATGTTCTCCCGTGCATTTAGTTTCCATATCTTTTAGCAAGATTATCCATGTTGTCTGCTTATGTAACATGCAACAGAGCACCTAACAGAGAAAACACAGAGATCAAAGCAATCATTTCAGAGAAAAAATAGTATTAAACACATCAATGTATAGAATAAAAATGAAGACTAAAAGTCACCTCTGCTTACACAGGAAGAAAAAAGTTATATCATCATTTGTTTTGGTTTAAATCCACAAAACCAGGCCACTGAATGAACCAGATCTGCAGGAGTGGAAGTGACTCATAAATAGCAGGAACAATAAAATATTGATATTATTTAATATTTCATAAACTTACCAAATAAAATAAAGACCATGCCAGTCTTTTGGTTCACAGCAGAGAAAAATCCTGGCGCTCCAATCACCACATCTTCATTTCCATCCTGATTGAGGTCTGCAACAGCGTAAGCACTGCAAGATGAAAAGAAGTCATACGCTGAAACCGGCCGCAGTTATGTTTCACACAACAGCTCAGCTGGAAGGCGGCACAACTGTAGGTGAGTCAACAGGCACTGATATGCCAGTTTTCATTTATAATGATCTTCTTCTTCTTCTTTGCATTCACCAGCTATAAACTCTGGCAGAGAGTTCTGGTTGTTCGTCCACTGCTGGACTTTGGTCTTGTTCCAGAACTTGAGTTTTGCATGCACATCTGCTTTACAGGTCTGACTTATTTGTATGCAGACTATTGGTTCCTTGCCTTGCAGGCAGATGCACTCCAACTTGGAAGGAAAGATCCCTAATTAGTCAACTTTTAAATATGCTTGTTGGTGAGGGAGGGGCAATGGGTCTATTCTTGTTTTCTTCTTCCCACAATGGGGCTCTGGAATCCTCACAGGGGAAATCCTGCAACCACCACAGGGATTTTACCGATCAATGCTTCTCTTCTGCTTGGCTGCTCGCCAGAAGGACTTGCCCCAGGTTGACCCAGCCTAAAATGGTCAGCAGGAAATGATTGGGGTAGTAAAGGTGGTCACTGTAATGCTGACCCCATCATCCAAGGTGTGATCCACACAGAGGTGATTGTGACCTTATCATCCAAGGTCTGATCCACACAGAGGTGATTGTGACCTTATCATCCAAGGTCTGATCCACACAGAGGTGATTGTGACCTTATCATCCAAGGTCTGATGCACACAGAGGTGATTGTGACCTTATCATCCAAGGTCTGATCCACACAGAGGTGATTGTGACCTTATCATCCAAGGTCTGATCCACACAGAGGTGATTGTGACCTTATCATCCAAGGTCTGATCCACACAGAGGTGATTGTGACCTTATCATCCAAGGTCTGATCCACACAGAGGTGATTGTGACCTTATCATCCAAGGTCTGATCCACACAGAGGTTATTGTGACCTTATCATCCAAGGTCTGATCCACACAGAGGTGATTGTGACCTTATCATCCAAGCCTGATCCATTCAGAGGTGATGTTGACCCCCATCATCCAAGGTGTGATCCATTCAGAGATTCAACACGTGATCCACTTAGAGGACAAGAAGAAAAGGAAGATGTAAAACAAATAACATGAACACACGACTATATTTACACAGCCAACACTGATTGCTCACAGTAAGTTGAGTTGAGTCCAGAACTGACATCACAGCACTCGGGGCATTCCCATATGTGCTCCATCCTCATCTTCAGCAGCCAGCGCAGAGTTCCAATACTGATGGTACTGGTCACAATCTTGGTTATAATACCGTCTTGCCTTTCCTCTGAGTGTAGTCAGCCGGCCCAGGTGCCTAATTCTCTCCCGGCCATAATAATCTTCTTTCTCTACAGATTCCATTGCTTGTTCCCAAGGGTCTGCTGACAATAAGCGAGCAACATATTCAACATAACATGTCAGGCATACCTTCCAAGCCCAGCATTGTCCTGGTATGTGGTCAGTACAGCATCAGGTAGTTTTCTGTTATCAGTGACAATCATCATCTGTTTCACACTGCTGACATCACGGCTACCCATGTGATGGTCATGACTTCTACTTCTTGTTGAATCTTCAATCTTTTGCTGAAAAATTAATTATGAGTTATCAGTAAAGAACTGACATCATAGCACTCTGAACATTCCCATAAGTACGCTGTCCCTATCTTCAGCAGAGTTCCAATTCAGATGGTACCAGTAACAGTCTGCTCGTATATCTGTCTTGCCCCTCCCTTGAGTGTTAAGCGTCGGCATGATCGCCTGGTCACTCCTCGGAGCATCATTCTCTTCAGACTGATGACCTAATTTTCCCTCTATACTGTCTACTCATTCTCTTTAGACTGATGAGCTAATGTCCCCTCTATACTGTCTACTCATTCTCTTTAGACTGATGAGCTAATGTCCCCTCTATACTGTCTACTCATTCTCTTTAGACTGATGAGCTAATGTCCCCTCTAGACTGTCTACTCATTCTTAAAGGGTCCTTTCAACATCTGGCTTGTAGAAATAAATTAGCTATATCAAGACATGGTAATGAAGAACAGTTGCCAGAGATTTGTGTGGTAGTGAGAAAAGCCCTGAGACAACAATGTCTAGTGCAGTCTTTTCTATTTACTGGTCCACAGATAAAATCTAATGGGTCGTTGTAAACACAGGAGTCAACAAAACACAATTTTGGGTTTTCAATATCTGCTAGTGAAACTTGTTGGACTGGATTCCATTCAGGATATCAAAGTGACTGCACAAGAAAGAAGGACATGCCGAAAAAGCCTGTGAGCCCAATGTGGTAGATAATAAATGGTACAATAGAACAGTGAATGAATGAATAAACGATACACATTTACAAAACACCTTCAACCGTACAACAGTGAAAGAATGAATAAGTGATATACATTTACAAAACACCTTTCACCGTAGAATGAAATCTTTTTCTGCAATTTAAACATTTATCAATTATAATACATTCTTCTAACTGAGCAGCTGTTGCGGTGTAGTGGATAGATGCCAGCTTGTGGATCAGAAGGTCATGGGTTCAAGTCCTGATGGAGCCGGACTGTTTTTTTTAAAAAAAATGACCTTGGCCCCCAGGTCAAAACAACTTTAATATGGATACTTTGTAATGTCCTGGGAAGTAAAGGTGGTCGGCATGATGTTGAGCACACCACTCAGCGAGTGCCGACTGGTCTATGAATATAGTTCTATCTCTATATACCAGTGCATCTGAGGGCATGGCAAGGGTTCTTTATAAACAGTTCTTCAGGACGACTATTTGGAAATGGAAATATGGAGGTCCAAGGCAGACCCTGGGGGGGGGAGGGGGGGGGGGGTGTGTGTGGGGTCAGCAGGTCCTAGCTAAATGGCAGCTACTGCTTTAGTGAGTTCTCTTATCTGGACCTTTTCCTGCACTACTCTGAGTCCTAATCTAACATCTGCAAATGTCTTCTTCCATCGATTTTTTAGAGGAAATGGTTATAAGGAACGGAACAGCAAAAAAGCAGCTGTTTTACTGAATTTGTACGGTTTAGATTTTGGTGTTGAAGAAGCTGTCTTGCTGAACAGGAAAACAGCAGCTGTTTTGCAGAGTGTTTATTGTTTGGATTATAGTGCAGGAAAAACTATCATGCCGGACAGGAAAACAGCAGCTGTTTCGCAGAGTGTATATTGTTTGCATTACAGTGCAGGAAAAGCTGTCATGTCAGACAGGAAAACAGCAGCTGTTTCACTGAATGTATATTGTTTAGATTATGATATAGGAGATGCTATCATGGTGGACAGGAAAAAAGCAGCCACAATGTGCATTTTCTGTTAGAAGCTGTCAGACACTATTTCACTGCTTCCAAATATACTGGCAGTGCCTACAAGGTGGATTCTGGGATGGGCCAAGCAGGTGGAGTTGGACAGGACTACAGCAACTGTTTCTGTCTACAGACTGTATAGTGGCAAGAATTTAAAATGTTATTTAACCACATTGCTCACATACAGTGTACAATTTTACCTTCAACTTCAGGCCAGGTTGGAAGATCATGCCTCTGCCAGATTTCTTAACCTCCACATCCCCGAGGCTTGAAGCAAACATGTTTTGATGGGTGTAAAAACCATTCTTCAGCAAGGCAGAATTTCTTCTTGGTGGTGCCAGATTTTTGGTATCATTACAGCGAACAAATAACGGGTTATAATCCATTGTACACAAACTGGGGAAACCAAATTTTTTTTTTTACAACTGTTTTATAGACAGATGCAGCTGCAAATTTTGGCCACAATAAAACATAAAAAGTGAAAACATACTATAACAAGTGAAAACAATTTATATTAAAGATATCATCATTATCACCACCTGCCTTGCCGACTGGTGTGGGTGTTCATTCCTCTCTACAATATACCATCTACAAATGATTGTACTGACATCCCCTCCATTCCATGAAGAAAGTATGTGGGTTCTATGGTGTAGTGGTTATCACATCTGCTTTACACTCAGAATGTCGCGAGTTCAAACATCACCAGTACCTTCACCTGTCTTTTGATATGCATATTAAATGAATACAACATGCTTTATTGATAAAATACAACTGCTGTGTGAAAGACAGGTGTTTGGAAGGGCCGAATGTTAGATGGGCCTGCGTGCCCAATTTGTGACCCTTTGAAAATAAAGTTCGCTCATTCGTTCTTTTTTCACTGATTTTCCAGTTGTCACAACATGTTCTAGTTTTCTTCTTCTCATTACATGACCCAAAAATGATGACTGTCTCTTTCTGTTTGTATAAGTTGTCTTCGAGCCCTAGCCTCTTGCAATATTTCTGGGTTGCTCCTTTTGGCTGTCCAAGGAATTCTAAGGATCCTTGTGTTAAAAAACCACACCTCCAAGATCTCTGTATCTAATAGGTCTAATATCCTACCACAGATGATGTCGAGGACAGTCCAACATTTTAAAGGGTGGTCAGACTGGGTTTCCCGGCTTTCTGATGCTTTTAACGATCCAAAAACCTCTAGAACTGGCCCTAACCATAACCCACCTACGTCCCGCGAGAGAGTGCAGGCTAGGTCCCACGTGTCCAAAGACTGCATGCAGCCTAGGTCCCACGACTGCCTGCAGCCTATCTACCACCCAATGAAATATTAGACTTTCCTGTGACCTGTGGATTTACCCTGTTAGGGGTAGAATATTAATAAAGCACCTGGTAAACGTCTGCTAAAGAACACCAGGAAAAATGTACTCACCTCATGCCATTCTCCACCGCAAATGTGAAATACCTCCATGTTCGCTGAGTCCAGTCAGCCATGTCTTGTAAGCCACCCAGGAAGTAGTCGTACAGTTGGTCAACCAAGAATGGACTGTGTCTGGCCGAGATCGGGAAGTACTGAGTTGGATTGACAAACAAACCTTGAATTTCTACACAATGAGTGATCTCTTTGATGGAAGTTGCTGGGTGTTTTTAATCCTGACTTTTTTGATTGGTTTTGATTTACTTTTTATTCCTGACTTTTTGACTTGTGATATATTATTTAACTCTGACTTTTTGACTGGTTGTGATGTAATGAAGAAAAATCACTCTCAAAGAAAACACTGTATTGTAAAATAAAATGATTTCATTAAAAAAAATGCAAAATTTTCTGAGGCGAGGGAAATATTTCCTTTTTCTGATGATTCTCCTTCTCAAACCATCACAATGTAGGATAAAAACTGTACACCTCTAGCTGGGAGAAACAGAACTGTTCTTGCAGAAAACATCCTTATGAACAATTGAACAAAACAAGGATGAACTGACACACTCCCTGTGTGCGTTCCGGGCCCCATAGTGGGGAAAACAAAAGAGCCCACTGCCTTCCCAACAAGAAACCGTAGTAGTTGATTAATTGATGGCATTCTTCCAAATCAGAGTGGATCTGCCTGAAAGGTGTGGAGCCAACAGTCTGCATATGAATAAGTCGGATCTGTGAAGCGGATGTCCGCTCAACACTCAAGTTTGTCATGAATGTCGCCAAAGCTGCGGTGTTTGTCCTTTGTCTGTCGCTCTCGACAGGTGGTTAGACATTCTGTGGAGGGAGACCAAGACATTAGGGATAAAACTTGACTTTAACCTTTTTTTTAAGTAGAAAATTATTCTAATAAGCTAAATTTTCATTATTCAAAGCTTACCTTCTTGAGGGCAACCCGCTCAGCAATTCTGCAATTCAAACAATAATTACACATTATACTGTTGTTATTTTCACAAGAAAACAGATCTGTGTAAAGTAGGGTCAGGATAATCTAAACGGTTCCAAAGTTCGCATTTTTAACTTTAGTGTCAAATCAGCATTGCTGTTAAGATCATGACCTGAACATTGGGAAGAACTGGCTCATAAACAGCATCCTCTACCAAAAGTGGAGGTATTCTGAACATGTTAAGTGCCATGGTGGTCTGGAGAGAACAGGGATGGAAGGTGCGCGTTCCAGATAATGAGGCAGAGGCTGACCTCCGTAAAAGTGGACTGAGGACAAGGTAGAGGCACTGGCTATGAAAGCACACAAGGCTGCAAAATTTTCTAGAGAAAGAGATACTTTCATGTCCTATGACGAGAGTGACATTCTGTAAAGAACATGCTGACTGACTGACTGATTGTATAGATCCGAAAAATGAAGCCTGATTAAAAACAATTACTAATAAATTACAAACATTCTTCTTCTTCTTCTGCGCTCATCCGAAGATGTAATTGTGTTGTGTCCGTTTACAGCATGGCTGCGATATTTGCACCTTTCGGCCAACACTTCCGATTTCTGCAGGCATTTGTTGACCGGGTTAGCCTTCCCGGAATTACAAACATTCAATAACTGGTACCTTGCCAGACAGAAACACTAAGATGGTGTAACAGAATCACATGACAGTCACTGTGCTATAATAAACTACAAACATTCAATAACTGGTGCCTTGCCAGACAAAATCACTAAGATGGTGTAACAGAATCACATGACAGTCACTGTGCTATAATAAACTACAAACATTCAATAACTGGTGCCTTGCCAGACAAAATCACTAAGATGGTGTAACAGAATCACATGACAGTCACTGTGCTACAGGGGCACCATAGCCACCTTTATTTCCCAGAAAATTCCAGGTACTCATTTTAGAATGGCATTACCCAGGAGAAGAGGTTGCTTAAAAAATATCTCTGCCTCAAACAGGATTTGAACAACAGACCATTAGACTGGCAGGCAAGAGCGTTAGAGCTACTCCAGCTCCCATTTTCAGAATGCTGATTACTGATTAGAGAATCAATATCACAGCACACTCGGCATATCCATAGGTGCTCCGACTCCTGCAGAAATGTCTTAAGTTGTAGATGCTAACTGTTCCCGCAGCTCACTGAATGCATCAATAGGTAATCAGGTAACCACAGTTCTAACTACATGCCAAACAGATCAAGCTACAGTTGTTTTGTTTCTGTGCCAACAAAAACCACACAGAATGTCCGTCTCTGGCAGATCATGTGCCCTGACCAGCAGGGTAGGTGCTCAACCCTCTCTACAGATCTCGGTCCTTAGTGGAGGATTTAACTCCTTATATCAAGCTTCCAGTCCAAAATGGAGGATTAGGCATGCATCGCAGAATGTTCAGCTTCGAAGTTATTTTTATATTTTAATTTCCAACAGCACTCTGCTAATGCAGTTTCAACATATGGATGGAAGTTTGCGGTTAAGCTGCCAGAGTTACTGAGTTTAGTGCTTGGTGCAGCCCTGTGAGCCCTGTTTTTTATCATGTGGAATGCCTTTCATTTGTTCAGCTGCTGTGTCGTGGTATTCAAAACGGCCGGTGGTGCGGTTTACCCATGGGCTGGTGAAATACCTTGTGTAATAATTCGACGTCTGTATAGCCATCTCATTGTGACCGAGTACTTCCATCAATGACAAATTGCATTTCTGGTGGCGACTGTTAGCTTTGGCGCCTCTAGCAACTGCCATATGCATTTAGTGAGTGCATAGATTTCTGGATTATGCCGGGACAATTGTTTGTTCACCAGTTTTTCAAATAGGACAGACGAACATTGCATTTAGTTTTCACTAGCATGGGAATGGAGCGAGTATAGGGTGACCGGATTGCAGTTTTTTTTTTTTTTTTTTTTTTTTTTTTTATCGATCACCGGCTGTGAATTCCAGTGGAAGGTACCGGTTAATCGTCCGCTTGGACTTTTGGCTTTCACCTGGACCTGATTTTTGTGTGTACAACCGTTTTTCATTTCCCTGCCTCATGGGCAGCTGTACTCCGACTTCGAAGGAAGACGTCAGGCCTATTTCTAGGGTGACTGTGGCCATTGTTTTGTGTGGGTCGAGACGTTGCCTGATTTGTGTGGTGTCCACTTTGTCTCCTTCGCCGCAGGTATTGCCACCGGAGTACCCCTTTGGGGCAGCCCCCTGTGGAACAGTTAGCCCTCAAGGGAAGGCAGGGGCAGATCATGGGCATTCCCCGCCATCCAAGGAGGCTTCCATGCATGCAGAGCCGGCACATAGCGCTCTGGTTCTGGGCTCACCCAAGGGATCGTCACGTCCTGCACATGCCTGCTTAACCTCACAACCGTATCAGGCCTCCCGCTCGACAGGGGCTGCGCCCTCTGGAAGTCAGTGGGGAGCAGCCCGTGGGTTTTGGACTTTTGTGACCACACAGATAGGTACATTCTTTTTTTTTTCTTCACACGTTAGATTTTTTTGACGAGCCGTTAGCCCGACAGAATTTTACATCCTGCATCAGGCATATCGTTATCAGTTTTGTCCCAACACTCGGGCGAGTGGGGTCTTTGGGTGTGGACATTCGGTCTTTTTCAGTTCAATACAAATTTTGATGGTCAGATTTTGATCGGTATGATCTAGTTTTGTCGGACATTTAGGCTTAGCCATCTGATGGATGGTTGCTGTTGTGGTGTACCTCAGCGCGGTGACGACGACACTGAGGGTTAACCGAGGATGTACATGAATGGCCAGCCTACGGATGGTTGCTGTTGTGGTGTACCTCAGCGCGGTGACGACGACACTGAGGGTTAACCGAGGATGTACAAGGATGGCCAGCCTATAGATGGTTGCTGTTGTGGTGTACCTCAGCGCGGTGACGACGACACTGAGGGTTAACAGAGGATGTGCAGTGGACAATGTTCTCTTTACTCCGCAGTCTTTTAACCAAGGGTTGTAATTTTGGCTGTACGTTTGGCAAACCTACTCATGTTCCTAATGAGTTTTGATAACATTTTTCACCCAAGCGTTTGGGGGCGGACTGATGAGAGCCACAAGGACACATCACCTCTGGGGGCCGCCGAACTCCGAGATCCCCTGACAGCTCTGTTAATGCTCATTTGAGACATTATCCGTGGCGCACGACGAGGACGTGCTGTAGGGGTCTTGCGTGAGGTTCCGTACAACCAGGATAGTAAAGGACTGGCGCCCGAGTGACGTACGGAGTATCTCCTTATACACATCATGTTGGACTTAACTTCCCCTCACGCCTGTGACATAAATCACCACGCCACACCGGATTGCAGTGATGTTTAAACCTCGACTACTACTACTACATGAAAGCAACAGACTATTATACTTAGACTACGTACCGAAAACAACAGACTGCAGCCATACGTACGAGAAATTCAAGACTGGGGATTCAGAACCTGGACCATGTGGGCAGTTCACAGAATACTGAAGATGTGCTACAACCCAGCTATATGAACCAAGTATTAATCCGTATAAGTGGACAGCTGCAGCAGAGCTCCTAATTGTCTTGAAAGTTGGAAATTGCCATCAAAGGCAGAGGTAACAGATCCCTATGTGGAGTGGAGTGGAAGGTAATGGAAAACCACCCTATTATCTTCCCAAGCTTTTATAAAATGAAACAGTTCAGTTCAGAAGGCAGTGATGACAATTAACATTTAACTGAGCATTCTTTCACTTAGTTCACAATGAAAACAGACCTAACATGATCATGCCATCACAAATCCGGTTGTCCTCTCCAAGTGCACATTCTACAGAGTAGATACGCATAGAGTTAATTTCATGAAACCTTACTTTGTTAGATACAGCAGCTTACTGCATGTGACAATGACATCTTCCGTCACCTGCTCTGTCCCATTTAGATCTCTGTATATGAGTAGTAAATCCTCAACTGGTATGTACCTGCATATAAAACAGCACATCTGTATTTTTAATAAATCTAAAAAACAAAAACAAAAAAAAAAAATGTCTTAAGAAACATACTTCTTCTTCAAGTTCACCACCAATAAATTCTGGCAGAAAGTTCTAGTTTTTCATCCACCTTTGGACTTTAGTCTTGTTCAAGAACCTAAGTGTTGTGTGCACATCCATTTCACAGATCTGCCTTATTTATATACAGACTGTTGGTCCCCTGCCAATCAATCAGATGCACTTTGACTTTGAAGGAAGCCTCCAATTAGCCAACTCCTACAACATGCTTGTTAGGGAGGCAGTTGGTCTATTCTTGTTTTCCCCAAACAATGGGGCCCCACATTGGAGCCCAACATTGGAGCCCCCACATTGGAGCCCCACATTGGAGCCCCCACATTGGAGCCCCCACACTGGAGCCCCGGAACCAACACACGAGAAAAGAGACATATAAAATTGCCCATCTTTATTAAGAGACCTACAAAACAGAAACATTTATCAAAAGACATTTAAAACAGCACATCTTTATCATACACAAAATAAAAGTTACTTGTATATTCTTCACAGAATGTTGAGGAACCAACTCCAGCAATTTCTGGAGTCCCCAACAAGATAGGGAAAGCCAATCACAGAAATGAATGGAGGGTTGAGATATCTGCAATGATTAATCTCAAGGGGCTCCAATGCCAAAGAAGACCAATAAAAAAAAAGTAAAGTTCCCTTTTCACGCCGTTCGGCGCATCGGGCATATGGGCAGAGCGTCCCATATTTTTACAGACCATCAGCACTCTGTGGGTAATGTGATCAGCATTACGCCGGCTGTCTTTACTTTCCCAAGACAGCCCATCCTGGTACCCATTTTAGGCTGGGTCGACCTGCGACGTCCCATACCACGACAAAAATCCACGCAGCCTGCAGTGGGTTTCGATCGCGGTATGCTGGCTTACGAGTCGGAAAGAAGACCAATACTTCCCTCTAATCCAGAGAGTGACGCCCAACAACGATACATAACTCCTCCTCGACAAATACTAGTCCCAACACAACCATGACTTCTCACAATTAATGTCAAAAGAATATACAAGAAACATGTAAATCGGCACTCACCATTCACCAAAAATATCACTGTAGTTCAGATTTAGCTGAAACAGGTTCAAGACATCCCCTCCTGAAACATATGGTCATGTAACACTAAAATTAGTTCATTCTGATTTCATTAATTTATCAGTTTAGCTCAATAATGTTTAACTTTTAATTTACCATTAAATACCTTCAGTTTACTAATACTTATCATTGTGTTTTTAAAAATACAACTGTGAGTTTACCAATGCATAACTGAGCAAACATTTGACAATACTAATTTAAAAGGCATAATTTTTCCCCCTCGATTAACCGTGTTGCACCAAGTGAGCCGATTTTCCCCATTTTTAAGGTGTTTTTTAATAGCATGACATCTTGTGTACAGTGGCCAGTACAGCTATATAACAAATTTGGTACTGATTGCAATTGCTCAGTAAAAAGCTGTGATGATGATGATGATGACATTCAACCCCACCAGGACATCACACCGAGCGATAAACACCCAGTGACACAAAGTGCCACCATTCAAATAAGAATCACCTTGAGACAGGTCCCAGAAACCATGTTCAACCCATAGGTTGGGTTATACCAGGACACCTGGCAATAGCCAGGGTGGGGCTTCAAGGATGTAAAGATTTGGTGAGTATAATTTTATTTACACACACACACACACACACACACACACAAACTTGAGATTTTTTGTTGGGGGATGTGGGGGGGGGGGGGGGGGGTGTTTTCTTTTTAACTGAGATGTCAAAGTGAAGACATTTTTTTTAAAATCCTTACAATGGTATTTTGCCCCACATGACCAAACTGCCAATTCTGCCTTTATTATACAACTGTTGCAGCATAGGCAGGAGGCTTTTGATCATGAGGATTTATGGCAGCAAGGCAGCAGTACTGTCGCCTTGAGCATGCAGGATTTTATTTTGCCCCTGCTAGAAAAATCCCCAGCCTTATACAGGATTCGAACCTGGGTCTTCCACTTGAGAACTCAGAGTTCTAACCGTTTGGCCAGCCACCCCTCTCCACATGGATATACATCAACAAAATGATGTTTCTCATGGGCACAGGGAAGGACACCAGTTCATTCTTTGCTCTGTGTGATTATTTTCCTCCATGTAAAAAATCATTTTCAGGCTAAATAATTACTCTTATGTCCAAAACTTCATTTATTAAAAGACTTGTTGGCCACAATGTCGCAGTTCTCACCACATTTACCTGTCTGATCAGTGGGCACAGGTTTTAAGTGTGTGGATTTCTATAAAAAATGATTAAGACTCCAAATTTCTTCTGTCGTCTCTTCTCTTCCTCTATTTTTAAGGGCAATTTTAGGCAAATATACTTAGGTTTTTGTTTTTGTTTTTTTTTTAACAATTTTTAAAAGGGTAATTTCTTTTATAATTCTTACAGGGGAAAGGGGTTCAACGTTAGTTTTTTGTTTTTGACAAACGTCATGGTAGTGCAGGGGTTAAGGTACTTGCCTGCAAACCAAGCAGACATGGGTCAAATCTCTATCAAAAGACTTTTTATTTTTCACCGACCTAGGCTCCTAGATCCACTCAGCTTACAAACATGACACCGGGAAATTTTCTGAGAAGTGAAGCCTTAATCAGTGTCATATTACCCATAACCCTCATCAACTACTGACAGGTCTACGAAAAGCTAGCATCATATGTCATATGTTTAATACGCCTCAAGACTTGGAAACCAAACCTTATCATCTATATCCCATAAACCTGTTTGGCGGAAAGGAAATATTTTTCTATGTTTAGTATACTAGCTGTGGTAGAGAGCTGGAACACTGATATCCAACTCATGTAATAGTTTTTGAGCGGTAAACTAACAGACAATGATACACACGACACACAATCTTTACAAACTAACAGACAATGATACACACGACACACAATCTTTACAAACTAACAGAGAATGATACACACGACACACAATCTTTACAAACTAACAGAGAATGATACACACGACACACAATCTTTACAAACTAAGAGACAATGATACACACGACACACAATCTTTACAAACTAACAGACAATGATACACACGACACACAATCTTTACAAACTAACAGACAATGATACACACGACTCACACAATCTTTACAAACTAACAGACAATGATACACACGACACACAATCTTTACAAACCCAAATCTCCAGCAGTGTGGGCACTTGGGAAATCTCCATGAAAATCTGTCTGAAAACCATAAAATTGCCAAACTGTTCATAAGAAATCAACTATAAAATGACATGACTGCATTCTATCATTAATACTGTTGCCTTGAGAGGCCACAAAACCTTCCGACTGGGGCCATTCCTTGTAAATGTCACTTTGCCAACTTGTCTATAGTGAACTGTATATAAAACGTATAGTAAACGCCACTGGCTGTGTTCACGCCTGCATGAACATTTATGAGATCATAATGTATCTTTACGGGGATTTTCCTTCAAATCATATGGTTTTTGCAAAACCAAGTTGACATCAAATTTTTACAAAAGCCTCAGTGGTAGCGGTCAGGGGTCATAATGCCATGAGTCACCTGCTACATATATTTTTTTAGACCCCACAGAATGTAATCCATTTAATTTTTCACTCTGTTCAAGTTGACTGAATACTCCTTTTATATATCTTTATATATTCCAGCAAACAAAAATGTCTAATTGTTTTTAAAGCATTTGCAAACTTCTCCAAAGTACACTGACATATTATAACTTAACAGGTTGAACAACAAATGTTGCGAACACCACACAGGTGATTGTTGTCAATTTTTTTTTTTATTTAAACAATGTGAACTTGTCGGCCAGTGCACATAAGAGGAAAAAACACATCTAGGGGAACTAAGTTCGGCCACTTGACAAAGCATCACTCGAATTCATCAAATACCTTTGGTGCACAATATATTAGAATAATACACATAGACTCTTTGACATTCACAAACCATCCAGACTGAGAGCAGTCGACGACATTCAAGCTTGACAGGAAGTCCAATCAAAAGGATAGCCAGGGTTCCAGGGAAACTCACAGTCAAACTTAGGAACAAGCGTTCACTAACAATTAGATTCATTGAGCATTCGCTCCATCATCCCCATGTAACATGAATTATTGAGGAGAAAATGATCACTAAGGGGAGCTTCTTTCATCCACCTGTTCCACAACCTGAGTGTTGCGTGCATGTCTGTTTTACATATCTGGCTTATCGTTATGCAGACTGTTAGTTCCTTGCCTCTTGGGCATATGCACTCCGACTTTGAAGGAAACCCCTAATTAGTCAACTCTTACAACAAGCTTGTTAGGGAGGCGGTGGATCTTTTCTTGGTTTTCCCCAAGACAGCGTCTCAGAACGTACCTGAGTATAAATGTCTACAAACGGCTTACAGTGAAAGTGAGGCTGAAGGACCCCAGAATGCACATGGGGATAAACATCTACAAGGGCTTAGGGTAAAGAAGAGAAAGAAAGTAACAAGTACGCCTTGAGGCTTATCGGGCATATGGGAAGAGCGCCCATATTTTTACAGACCATCGGCACTCGGTGGGTAATGTGGTCAGCATTACGCCGGCTGTCTTTACTATCCCAGGACAGCCCATCCTAGTACCCATTTTAGGCTGGGTCGACCTGCGACGCTCTGTACCATGATTAAAATCCACGCAGCCAGCAGTGGGTTTCGATCGCAGTACGCTGAATTACGAGTCGGACTCGCAACGCCTAAGCCACAAACGCCGCAAGAGAAAGAAGGACAACATAAATATATACCACACATACATGGAACTGTGGTAGCCTGTCAACCTAATCACCATTTCATCAGCAGATTTTTAAAAGTTTTGAGTTTGAAGAGACCTAAAAAGAGGCACCAAAGAAATGTTCTTGGGAGTAAGGGTGGCTGTCATGATACTATGTCACTGATCGAGTGTGAATGGCTCTACAGCAATTTGTGTCCAAAACAGATCAGTGTGTTCAAATGGATTCTTCCCTTTTTTCCTACTCACATGCAAAAACTCATATTATTTATCATGTTAGATAAGTCATCACTCTGATCATTTCTACTCACTTTAGCCATTGTTTGCAAGAATCCCTGGTCGATGCCTAAAGAGTGCCATGAAACATCAGCTACCTGGTGTGACTGAACACCCATGATAAAAGCCACCAGCTTCTTCACATCCTTGAAAGAAAAGACATAAACAAGTCTAGAGGAGGGACATAAAAGGTTAAAGTCTAGCTGATGTAGTATCTTAGGCATTGAATAAACTGAACTAGTGGCAGTTTCTCGAGGATCCATTGAGACGTCAATCCAAGCTTGCAAAGTGAGATTAGGAGATTTCGTTATGGCGAGAGTTAGTGAGAAAGAAACTTGATCCACAGTCTCATCAAGCACTAATCTAATTTACTTAGGTCACTTTATCCCCTTATACAAAGGATATTTTACAATCTACCATCATTGTCATTAAGTGCCTTGCCAACTGGAGTGAGTGATCATGCATCTTCATTAGCATGTATCAGTTCACTGTGACAAAAAGCAGTAGAGTAGAAACTCTCTCTCTACCGGCAGGTGACATCTGCACTAACTTCAGAGCTGAGGCAACTGCCCTCCTTTCTGCAGTCCAACATCTCATCACTCAAGAATACAGAGGGCACCAAATTGTTATACTCAGTGACTCATTGTCTGTTCTCCAAGCACTATGAATCAAAAAAACAAGACAAACTAATTGCAGATCTAAGGACCAACATTGGCTTACTCTCCAAGGAAGCAGAACTGGTCTTGCAGTGGATACCAGCCCCACTGTGGTATTCAAGGAAATGAGAGAGCAGATGAATTGACAAAAGCTGGGAGTAATCTTCCACAACCTCATCCACCACACAGCTACAAGGAAACCAAAACAGCGCTAAAGCAGTCTTTCAAGCGGGAGTGGAGAAGGCAGAATGGAGATTACAGACCAGAGAGTGACAGCATAAACAAACTCAACAAGAAAGAACAAACATCAATTTTTAGACTTCGGACTGGACACTGTGGTCTTCGAGCACACCTGTACAGGATAGGCATAAAAGAATCTGCTGCCTGTGATTGTGGAGCAGAAAGACAGACCCCTGAGCACATACTGCAGTACTGCCCTAACCTCTCCCAGCAAAGACTGTGGATCTAGCCTAGGGGATCCACATTGCGAGAGAAGCTATGGGGGACCGGTGGCGACCTTAAACGCACAATCCTATTTGTGACCCAGACGGGACTCAATGTTAAGCATGACTGATGTGGAACGCAGAAGAAGAAGAATGTGACAAAAAGGCTGTCAAGAATCATTTTGTGCTGTCTTCCTCTGTCTCTTTTTCCACATATCTTTCCAGTGGTCACAACATGTTGCAGTTTCCTTCTTTTCATAACAAGACCAAAAGACGATGTCAGTCTCTTTCTGATGTTTGTGTCAAGTTGTCTTCCAGCACTCATGTGTTTCAAAATATCAGGGTTGCTATTTCTGGTTGTCCAAGGAAATCTAAGTATTCTTCTGTAAAACCACATCTCTGAGGCCTCAAGATACTGATTGGCTTGTTTATTAACTGTCAAGAATTTGCAGTCATATGTTACAACCGGATCCATATAGCATGCGAGAATTCTGTTCCTAACCTCCCAACTTACAGAAAGTAAATTAAAATAACAATTACCTGACTCCATGGCTTCGGGTACTGCCTGCGGATGTAGTTAATGCTTGCACTGATAAAAGGGGTCCAATGGGTAACTTCTGAGATACTATGATACCTACCTGAAGTCAAAATGTACGATTTCATCAATTATTTATTCCAGATATTCAAGCTTTGTTTTTGAAGAATATATATAAATAATATCAAGTTAGCTTAAATAACATGTGTATTTTGCACAAAACTGCAGTTAGGTGTGTATCTGATAAGTAAGTATGTATGTGAGTACAACATCTGTGCTAGTGGAACAATCAGCATCTATACCTTAAGACATTTCTTGTGGGAGACGGAGCATCACTAAGTATGTCCGGTGTGCTCTGATGTTGACTCATAAATCAGTAATCAAGCAATGGTCAATCAATCATAAATCAGTAAACAAGCAATTGTCAATCAATCTTTAAAAAAAACAGGTGTTATACAAGACATGCCTGGTTGTATACATGTCAAACCTAAACAATAAGCAGACCAGCAAAAAAACACTAAACACAAAAAAGGGGGAGGTGAGGGGGGGGGGGGGTGATTGCTATTAGCTTTTGTCAAAAGTCAAATGTAACCGAGGAATATGGAGACAGGTATGCTCTGTGCAGAGTGGCAAGCATCGCTTCAGAAGTTCTGGGCAGTTAGGCTCCTTTGGAAATTTTCTTCAGGGTATGCAGCCACTAGTATCAACAGTTATAAGACATAAACGATAGAATGAATGAATGAAGGCAGGTGTGTGAGGACATGAATATACACACAGACTGGCTGGTTCTGCACCACTGGCAGTGAATTGATGCATGAGAAGCTAGATATGGACAGGGCCCTTTTGAAGCAAGTGAAAAGTGTGGGAGTATGAACATATCAATATGGGCTGGAGAAAAAGGTATTTAGGAGTTACCAAGGGATCTGGTCAACACTCTAAACTCACAGAAAAGGAAAGATAGACACATAAACTGCCACTAGCAAATCCACTGACACTGGAACCTTTCGCTGGCTGTGGACGATGAGAGTATGGGGCGCTGTGATGTTATTTCTCAACTCAACTCAAATCAAAAGTCTATGATCATGAAATGTAAGTTAGAAGTCTGACAAACAAAATGACACAAAAGTACACAAACAAACATGTGATAAATCACCTATCCAGTGTTGACTGGTCTATATAAAATAGTGCAAAGCGAGGAAATATATTTTTTTCCCTTTAGTTAAAGCATAACTACTGTGAGTGCACGTGCAGCTGCAACTTGTTCTTACAAAAATTGGAACACACAAATGTTATTTTGACAATACCTCCAAGACATTCCGGTGGATAAAAAGCATCAGGAAAAGCGCTGCCGGCTTCTAGAGCATCTTGATTTGTCTGAGCTATCTGTAACATGTTAACAAATAAACCCACTGGTATTCAAAAGTCCTAGCATGTGTATGTGTATTGTAAATAAGTATAGAACCCATGCTCATGTTATGAGGTGTCTTGGGTATGTGGCCAGATATTTTTAGACTAACCAACTGTATCATGTATGTGGCCAGATATTTTTAGACTAACCAACTGTATCATGTATGTGGCCAGATATTTTTAGACTAACCAGCTGTATCAGGTACGTGGCCAGATATTTTTAGACCAATTAGCTGTATCATGTATGTGACCAGATATTTTTAGTCTAACCAGCTGTATCAGGTATGTGACCAGATATTTTTAGTCTAACCAGCTGTATCAGGTATGTGGCCAGATATTTTTAGTCTAACCAGCTGTATCAGGTATGTGGCCAGATATTTTTAGACCAATTAGCTGTATCATGTATGTGACTAGATATTTTAGACTAACCAGCTGTATCAGGTATGTGGCCAGCTATTTTTAGACTAATTAGCTGTATCAGGTATGTGGCCAGAAAATTCTAGACCAGTCAGTTCTTACAAAGTAAATAATTTCTCCTTCTTGTTCTCAACATTCACGGCTGTAAACTCTGGCAAATGTTTTGGTTGTTGATCCACTTTTGGATTTTGGAGGTGTTCCATTACTTGATATTTGCTTATGCATACCTTTTACAGATCTGGCTTATTTGTTTGTAGACTGTTCCTCAGATCTCTGATGATGCACTCTGACTTCAAAGGAAACACCCCTAATAAGTCAACTTTTATGACATGCCTGTTAGCGAAGTACTGGGTCTACCCCCCCCCCCCCCCTTTTCCCCACAAAATGGGGCCCTGGAACCTACATGGAGATGCTAACGCTGGTGGCATACATTATTAGAGCCAGATTTTTTTTTTTTTTTGTAGATCAATCAGCACTAGACAGGCAATGTGGTCAACATGACAATGGCCATCTTGACCTTCCAGTGCTTTATCTGGGACCTATTTCTGGCTGAACTAAACAAACGTATAGGAAAGGCCTCTGCTATGTTTGCAAATCTCACAAAGAGAGTCTGGTCAAACAAAAAGTTAACTGATAATACAAAAATGAAGGTTTATGAGTCTTGTGTCCTGAGCACATTACTGTACGGCTGCGAATCCTGGACTCTCTATGCTCCACAGGAAAAAAGACTGAATACCTTCCATATGCGCTGTCTGAGACGCATCCTTGGTATATTATGGCGAGACCTTGTCTCCAACGAATGTGTGCTCACAAGAGCAAAAATACCATCAATGTATTGTATACTGAAGCAAAGACGTCTGCGCTGGCTGGGACATGTCTCCCGCATGGAGGATGGTCGTATTCCAAAAAGATCTCCTATATTGTGAATTGGTAACTGGGAATAGACCTACAGGAAGGCCAATGCTGCGCTATAAAGATGTATGCAAACGTGACCTAATAGATACCAACATAGGCACAGAGACATAGGAAAAATCAGCTGAAAAGATCGACTACTATGGAGACAGAAAGTGAAAGACGGACTGTCACATTTTGAAAGAAACCGAACACAACGAGCTGTGGAGAGGAGACACGGGAGTGTAAAACTGCCTCACAACGAAGGAGTATCTGCTTTTGTGTGTATCCTGTGTGGCAAAGACTGCCATTCCCGCATCGGACTTTACAGTCACAGCAGATGCTGTTCCCAAAGCCAGCGGCACATCTCCATAGTCCCCCGGGACTGACAGATGCCATTATTATTTCTGGCTATGTCGACCTGGCAGCCAAAGCCATTTAACTCATTGAGTGCCGTGGTAAATATTAGGCTGACTTAACTTTCTAAATACCTATTTTGAGCTGGCAGGACTGGGAGCTCAGGTCAATATTTTAAAAAAACTGCTTCGATTTTGATGTAGATTCAGACACGCTCTCGTGAGGACAGCCAGAAATCATACACTATCAAAACTACTCAAATATAATATTTACTCAGTTCAACTATTGGTACAGACATATTGATAAAGAACAAACAATGTAAGGGCTAAATATAAATATTCAAAATGTAGTTCTGTGTGGGTTCCTGGGCCCAAATATGGCAGAAACACAAAACAGACTCACTGTCTTTTGACAAGCATGTCGTAAAAGGCTTCTAACTAGGGGTTTGCTGAAATCAGATGTGCTGGGCCAACAGGCGCAGATATCGCAGTCTAGCTGTAAACCACAACAAAGCATGCCAACCATCATTGTAAGGGGTAAACACAGAAGAAGAAGAAGAAGAAAATGTGCTTATATCGATGGATAAATAAATATCATCAAAGGAAAATAAAACAAACAAGCCAGCATTAAAAAACTAGAATTTTAAAAAAAAAAAAGATTACCGAGCTCAGGTTCAGACAAAAAAGAGACAATTCTTTGTCAAAGGATTCTGCTCAAATAAAAGTTGGAGGATAAACTTCTCATGAGCCATCCCCCCCCCCCCCCCCCCTTTCCAACCTTCCCCAGGTTTGAGACCACAGATCAAGAAAATAGAAGATCTAGGCTAATAGAAATACTTACAGAGCTGTAACTTAGGTTTCCATATCTGTCATCATACATAAACAGAGCCTGATAACCTGCAGAAGGAAAAATGTTTTTCAAATTGTTATCGTTTGCAGATTATATATCACAATTAGAGTATCAGAGTCATTAACTCTTTGAGGCCCGAGCAACGCTGTGAGTGTTGATTGAGAAGTTTTGATTTGCCCAAACAACACTGTCAGCGTTGATCGTGTGTCCAGCACATATTGATTCACACTTGGCTCTGTATTCATTTCTAATGTTCGGAACTACCATTTAAGTATTCAGGAAAGGTTACTTTAACATTTTCTTTGTATAGAAGTCTTTGTTCCCTCATGTGTGGTCACAAACTGATCTAATTCATTGCTAGCATCATTTCCAGACGGGACATTTTGTAATTTCTTGTTGGACACCATGGATAATAATGTTCCAACTACAAGTACAGGCCGCAAAATACGTCTTTCTGCTGCCAAAGCTCTGAAATTGTTTCAGTCAGATGTTTTTAATTCTGACAATGATAATGATAATTTAGATTTTTTGGGAAGTGATTCGGACGGTGAATTTACACCAGCGGCAGCTGAGTGATCAGATGTTTGGGATTATAGCAATTCTGATGAGTCTGACGCAGAGAATGTTCCACTGCTACCCTATTTAGGGTGTAAGAGAAGGACAGTGCTCCAAACAAATAGATTACCATATTTAGGGTGTAAGAGAAGAACAGTGCTCCAAACAAATAGATTACCATATTTAGGGTGTAGGAGAAGGAAAGTGCTCCAAACAAATAGATAGTACCATAGTATACTGCAGTGAAATCATTTCAGCTACAGTCTGTATATAAGCGTTCAAAGTAAATAGTAAATAGTGTGTGTGTAATGGTGCATCTTTCTGTCATTTGTTTTTCTCTGAAATTGTGTTTAGCACTCTGTGAGAAATTAGAGAATCTGAGAGTTAAACTAGCCCAGAAACTTATCATAACTTTGGAATTTTTTAGGAAAATGAACAAACTTCAAAGTGTTATTCTCAAATTTCGATATTCACTGCTCTTGTGGTGGCAAAACCATGGTAAATGGGGAAACTGTTTGTAAAATTTTGCCTTTATAAACTGAACACTTGCTAAATTTGTCTTTACTACTAACTTTAACAGTATTAAACATATAGATATCATCAGATTCATACTGTACATTCATTCCT